CATAATTCTTATGACCACATTGATTTGAGCTTGTTTTAAAAACAACGACTATCGGGTTAAAGTTTTAATTAAAGAATGGATCTCCCACATAGTAGGAACTAAAACAACTGCAGGTCTTTTGTCGTTTGTGTGCTAAATGTTGTTTGTACTTGATGAGAGAATGTCAGTGTTCTTCGCTGCAGTTCCAATTCATGGGTCAATGACCGATTGAGACAACTTTCACAAGTAATCCTGGAAACCGTCCAAACAAGATCTGGATCTCAAGTTTCCCTGAATACGGTCGATTCACAATAGTGCGCCTCCAAGAGTTTGCAACGCGTTGACCAATCACAGCGCCCGCGTGTCCGAGTCGACCCAATGCGCGCTTGGAAAGGGTCGACTGATTTCCGCACTTTGATGGGTCAAAGCGTTGCAATCTCTTGGAGGCACTCAATTGTGAATCGACCGTATTGTTTTTGCAGGTAGAATATACGGCGAAGCGGCCTTGTAATTGGTCCCGATCCCTGTATAGTTCCCAGATTATATTTTCAAAAATATGAAATCATTTAGCTATTTTTTTTAAATATGAAATCTTGAATGTCACTTGGACGGGCGTGGTATATGCACAGAGGCGGATCCAAGATTTTTCTCAAAGGAGGACAGGCCTGTCGGTTTTTTATTTTATTTATTATTACTTGTTAGTTTTTATTTTTTTGGATTATTTATTTTGTGTGTGGGGGTGTGTGTGTGGGTGTCAGAGCAGGGGCTGGCCCCCACTGGATCCACGCCTAATGCATTTACTGAGGAACACGTGACGACTTTCTCTTATGTTGTTGTCGGTTGTAGAATGCGGGAGACAAATTCATCATGTGGAAATTTAATTTGGTGTTTGTGCACCATAAATCGTCTGTTAACTTCATACTCCGTGAAGTTTTGTGATGCGTACATCATAAAGCACGCAGCCAATCGTTGTCACTTCCCATGGGAAATCAGAAAGCAAAAGCCGTGTGCCTCAAATGACAGCAACCGGGCACCATCCTCCCAAATCCCCTGCATTTGCCCGCGGGGTTGACGCACCAGAAGTTTTTATTACCCTGCGTGTTATAAAAACTTCTTTCATTCATACCTCATATCCGGGCGACAGAAAATTTAAATCGACAGAACGGTCAGATTGGAAACTGCGCCATTTCCTAAGTGCAAAATATTTGTTTGCACCTTGCTTTTTTTTAGCTTATGTAATCCTACACTTTAAAGTTCAAATGCAAAAGATCTAATGGATGTCAAATATTTGTATTCCGTAAACACTTTTACCGTTTTATGCGATCGGTCTATTTATCTCGAAGGTTGATGAATTACGGACACAGAACGAAATTAGCAGATTTGCGAAACCCGTGTCCAGCCATGGAGCTATCAATAACTTCATATAGTCCCACATTGCATCAAAGAACTTTATACAACCAGTTACCACCCCCACACGCAGGCCCCTTTTCTATACACAGCCCCCTCCCTGCCCATAATTAGGAGGATGTTTGCATGATCTGCCTAGAATCCAGATTCGGCCGATTCTGCCTTGATTAAAAATGCAGTCACGTGATGATTTTCTGCTCTCCACATTCATGGCCGCATGCGTGCACGACCAGCCTCCATACTTTCCGTCCTCCGATTCCTATACGCTGGATCGTTGGTCACACCCAGAGCTCGCTTTCTAGACTCTGTTCCCCAGGCAACGGTCTTTTTTTATTAATACACCGCCGCTTACTGGATCAGCCGTTGCTTGTATCTCTACGCTGTGTCCCATTTTGTCGTATTGGCTGTACACTTTCACGCTAATGGTGTAGAGTGTTATCACACGCGTCACGCCGTCACTTTTTCCCCAGTGTAATCTTCCATGGCCGGCAGGCGGTCATGCATCCAGCGGGGTTGGTGCCCCTGAAGACATGGTGGCATTCTCAAAGAGAAGAAAACATCAGCACTGCCGAAACGGGCTTGTGTAATTTGAAAAGGGCAATTCCTAAATAGGCAGTGTCCTTTTTCCAGAGAGAATGTACTGTCATGCATCTGTCATCACACGAACCATAGCATGATGAATGATAGTGAATCATTGTAATTACCGAAAATGGACGAAAACGAGGCAAACAAACCCCAAATGTTTACCATGAAATATCCGTGTCCAAAGAATGTTTCACAGAGAGACGGTGTTGTGTCTATATAATTATATCTCTGTGAGAGCTATAAGGAAAGATTATGATAGGCCTATACGTGTCACCCCAAAACGGTTCTCCATGCATCGAACGATAAAATCCGTTTTAAAATTGTATGAAATTCTCCTGTTGACAAGGTAGCCGGCAAAGGAAATGCTGCAGTCACATAATTATTATTAATGGAAGAGCTCTTGCAACATCCGCGTGTCCATTTGTGCAGGCTGGTCACGCGGCGGGTGCCACGGGGCGCCATTTCACAGACGAGACCCGGGCAGGCGAGAGGACATCATGGAAGCTCGTCTGGCATATGATGATTATTAACAGAAGCATGCCGTAGACCCTTGACCAAAATCCCATCTCTTTTAATGACACGTCCACGGCGTCCACTGACATTTAGGATGATAAGAACCTTTCAAAGTTGTTGTAGTGTTTTGATAACAGTAAAACAGACGTCGAATAATACGATTCTTTTCCTTTCTGTCGGACTTAATGACTGATCGCAGACCTACCATTCACTGGTTCAGCTTTCGATTTTGTGCTGTCTCAAACCGGGATTAAGAGCGATGTGTCTTGTTTCTTGACGGTATTAAGGTGATGGTTACTTGTAAACCAATCCATGGTCGTTCGCTGGCGCATTATACATGTACCCATGCTCATTTCGCGCAAGCCATCGCCAAAAAACTCGCCCTTCACGAAATTCAATATAAATATTTACCCAACTGCTCGTTGTAAGACAATGCTGATAGCAGTCGTGACTTCAACACGAGAAAGTATCATCAGATTGCTGTAACATCGAAGGAGTATGGCTTCGGTCCAAAGGGAGTTCACTTGACATGCTTGATTGATTAGGCCGATAAAATTTGTGCACGAATACGTCTAAGTGCGTTGATTGCATACGATGCACTAGGTTTATGCGTCATCCGGTTAGATACACAGGTTCAGGTGGGGCGATAATTGTACATTAAGACCAGGGCTGAATTTTCCTGAGGGTACTTTCCCACGGGCTGACAAAAAGTTTGGGGGATGAGTGATTTTTTTCTGCAAAGAGTGACAGAAATACCCTTTTTTGTAATTAATTCACCAAGTGAGGCAGAAAGAGTTGGGGAATAAATGCGTTTACAAATTGTCTTGTTGAAAGTACGCTGTGTTAACAGGTCGCAGCACCAGGCCAGTGGCTCATGGCATGATTGTTGACAGTGACAGCATAAGATGTGATTCCCTAGCGATAATACGTGTAGTTTAGAATTTTCGAACATCAAAACATCAGTTTGTATTTTGTTTTAAAAGTCGGGAAAGTCAGGGTAGAGCTGCTGCAGCCGATTTCCAAGTAAAAAGGTTTTACTTCCAATTTTTCCTCGTATGAACGATTTTCAATATCTGCGTGAGTGTACTCCTGATCTGCTGGAAAACGGCCACTATCCAATATGGGGCTTTGTGTAGCAGAAACATCAGGACACCGCACGAAAAACGTGTCTCATAAAATGGGACAAACGTCATTTCCCCTGGAACAAATAAAAACAATTTTAATGGAGCCCCATGACAAGACAGCTTCTTTACTCGGTTAAGCTTTGCAATTCAGATTCCTACTTGGTAAATTAGTAAATAGTCCATATGACATCAAAGACAAACATTCAAAGAATGTTGTGCTCGTCATCACACTAATGGTCTTTTTCTCTTATCAGGTCGATGCACTCAATCCATTACCCAAAACTGACTCGACGAGACTACGCAAAGAGCAGTGTTTCAAGGGATCCAAGCAGAAAAAACATATGCACGCATGTGTGTATGCATTTCAAATCAAAGCCAACAAATGCTTAATATAGGGCGGTTGTTATTTCGTTGAAGATGTTAAATCAACATCCGTTGATTTTATTTGACAAATATTGCATAACATTAACAGTTTAAAGGGTAGGATTTGCCATGTTGATTTTCGCGACAAAAGCTCAAAATTCTCCCCAATAGCGGTAAGTTACGTGATTTGCGTCTTCTTTTAAGTTATTACACATATGTCGAAATTTTAAATTTACATTTGCTGTCACAATAGATGACATAGCTGAATTTCAGTTACGGATCACTAGCAATTAATATCATTATCTCTATGGATTGCCAACTGTTACCACGACAATCAATGGATGCAGTATGAGGTTTTTTCTCAGATACAGCTGCATAATGTAGCAACATGGTTTCGTTTAGATCTACGGATGCATGTGTTGGACAGGTTTCGGCCAGCAAATGTAGTTAAATTTGATGAAAATCGACTGTACACTTCAACAGACAGTTTTTTTGTATCGAGGCATCTTCCTGGCGTCATGGAACCCCTGGGTGGTGGAACTTATGACGTCATGGTCATGGGAGTGGCTTGGGCACGGTGAGGGGGCGTTATGGGCCTGATTTCGGCGCAGACAAAGCCACAGACCTCGTCTGAAATCTTTGTAGCACATGGCGTATATGAAGGGGTTAATGCACATGTTCACCAGTGCCACGACGACGGTGAATCTGAAGAACATGCCGCTCATGTTGACGTCACCTCCCATGTTGACATAGAAATATGTGATCTCATTCGGGCCCCAGCACACGAGATAGGTCAACGACACCAGAAAAGTAGTGATAATAACATTACGAGACGCCTGCCGCACAAGGCGCCGTCTAGCCCCACTCCTGGGCATGTCTGCTTTGCGCCAGGCATGGCGGAGTTTACAGATGATGCGGGAGTACACGAACGCCATGATGCACAGCGGGATGACGTAATGGTCGATCAAAGAGATGAAGCCAATGGCGAGGCCCATTTGCACCGACGGCCACTGTGACGTGCACGTGCCATTAATGACGCGATTGGTCAGTCCCCAGCCTAACTCATGGATAGGACCTACAATCCATGGTATCACACAGATAAGCCTGGCTTTACGGAGTGTAAACTTGGATCGGTAGTAGAACGGATGGAACACGGCGACATGTCGCTCTATCGTCAGATACACGAGGTTGCAAGTTGAACTTGCACCCAGGGCCCAGATGGCGTATTCCGATAGCCACACCTTGCATAAAAAATCAGCGAAGGCTGGGTCGGAGGGTAGGTTCAACTGGGGTCCGAGGTTGATAACGACGAAAATGACACTCATAGCCAGGTCTATGGCGGACTGATTACACACAATCGAACTGGTAACATTCCGAAGGAACGAGGGTGAAAATATATAGACTAAGATAACGATACCATTGCCGATGATACCGAGCGTTCCTATGACGCCGTACACGATGAGAAGAAACACTGTCTGTGATGTAGATTCGTATGCAAAATTCTCGGTCGAATTCATAGAATCATTTATAGAATCCAGGTCCCTGACTAAACCAACACCTGTAGCGTTATCCATGTCTGAAATCGGTATCATATGGTACACGTTATTGTAGGCCTACTTCTTCAATGCAGAGCCTGACCTACCTCGAAGCATTATCCGCTGAAGGTATCGTCAGTTTGCGCATGTCTATTCACTTTATATCGCTGCTCCATTCGGTCAGCAACCAACTAACATAGCGACTCCGTCACCACCCAAGGATAACGCGAAATTACATCAGGAGACATCACCTTAAAAGTGACGAATTGCGTTAATGATAAGGAGCCCAGATCAGTCTGATCTCTGGGCCAACATTTGCCAACCACTCACCAGTGACGCACGTGATGCGTGGCTATGTTGACTCAGTCGGACGCGCCTCCAGAGATGTCGCACGGCCATAACGAATTAATCCGGTAGTCCAACCAAATCTTGTTTACCGCGACTTCAGTTCTGTCAATGCTGTCTGAATTTACCTTCCGTATGTGAATGTTGCCACATCGAGATACGGGCCGGTTCCAAGCACTTCACCCAAGGGAGAAAGACTCAGTCGCGCTCGCTGTCCGAAACAAAACAGCTGGCGTTGACGATGCGGAAGACGCATCGTGATATCAATCAACTCGTGAAGTGAAATTCGCCCACCTCCATTTCCCATTAACCTTTGCCTTTTAACGGGCCTCTTTGACTTGCATTCAGCAGCTCTTCCTCAGTTGACAACAAGAAACCAATATTCACAGCGTGCATTAAAGGATACAAGTCGCTTTCCAGTTGGTTAGGTCGTTGGAAATAATGTTGGTGATCGCTTTGTGTGGCTAGCCTATCGGACGTACATGTACATACCACGGACGCCTGTTACAACCCCAATTGAAAACTGCCACGAATGAAGACCGCGCGACCAGACTAAAATGTCTCAGTGCTGTGAATCCAGTCTCTTTGTATGATTTTCACTGTTTCTATTCCTCCCCGTCGCACATCAACGTTTTTCTCAAAGGTCTCAAAGTAATCAAGTGCAATTCCAAACAAGAAAACTCATTTTTAAACCACCCTGCTGCTACCATGCCAACGGAATTGCGAGTGAACACTGTTTTAGGAAGCAAAAAAAAAAAAACCCCAATGTGATTTCGACAGCAAACTTGAGCCCTTTGGACCTGTGTGCCTCGATGGTTATTTTGTAAAACAAATTTGGATTCCTCGTTTAAACACGGGCCTCTGGTCTGGTGAAACGTAATATCATGCTCTTGTATCGCATCGTTATCAAACACCCGCAAATATCCGAGTTTGTAATTAATTTCGTCGTAGTGGTAAGCGAGAGTATCAAAATGAAGTGGCGATTCGACACTAAGTAGTTCTGCTGTCATTTTTTCCCACTCAAATTGCAGATCACCATTGGCTCCTGCTTGTCCAGTGTGTACACTCTTTATTGTTTTGTTGGGTGTGGGACCACTGACGCCACTCGAATTGCCGTGATGATCTGTTATAACGCCACGCCGATCACCAAATACTTTATTCATAATGATGGGGGATTGCACTTGATGTTTTCAATGGTTCCTTGAGTGTTAAAGGAACTACATGTATTACCAAGTACCAGCTGCAAGGGGTCCGATTTTGTGCGGGGCTATCATACAACAGTTCTTTTGAGTCTGTCAGGTTTTGGCAGGGGAAGCGGCCGATTGCATTCCATTACACCTGTGCAGGAAAATGATGGGTTTTCGAGTCCCGTGCAAAGACATAATCCTGTAGAATTCATATTGGCATAAAGGGACAGAGCAATCATCCTTGAACATTCTGCGATGATATACGATCATACGGAAATGTTCTAGGGACTGATGCAAAAGCACGGACGCAGACAGTCGGCAAAGTTAGGTCAGGTTAATTTGGCCGACTACGTCTGCGTGAATCGTCACAGCAGGCCCATCTACGAACACATACAGACGCTGGCGCGTAAAGTATCAAGGGCCTACAACGATGTCACTTTCATTGAGTGCCATGCGCATGTTCTCCCTGACTTGGAAATGAAACTAAATTATCCTAATTAAATTATCTAAATTGTAGACCTTAAGACACACAAAAAGCTGAAAAACCAGTTCCGTTTCAAGAAATGGTTCAGCCTCCTTTTGAAAGGCAGTGTGCGAAAAAAAAATCAATTTTAGGGGATTTTAATGACGTCATAAAAAGTTTCTGTAGCAGCTGTCTAAGTCCTGACGTCAGTTTTTTATCATTGGTTACGGATGCAATACAACTTTGAGCAGACGGTACCCCCTCTGCAGTTGAAAAGAGCCATGTTGGTGGAGAGTGTTAATTTTGGTGGTAGCGACGCGGTCGCAGCGCGTACACTTCATAGTCGTTCGTGAACCAACGAAGTGCAGTTCCCACCGAAGGAGCCTGCGTTGCAGTGAAAATTGCGCCCTCTCTTGGTGCAGCCGGAGGCTCTTGGCCTCCAACCGAAATATTCAATCAGTGTTGTTTGATCCAAATGAATCCAAACAGATTTAATTCTTCCCTCACAAATACCTCAGACAGTTTAACACTTCCTATTGGTGAGGAGCCCGTCGCGAGGACGTCTCCACATGGTTGACAAAGCACCGGCTCGCTGATAAGTAATAAAAATACTGTTCCGGCGTCACATGAAATAGACCTGTGGGAAATTAGGTCCCGTTTTCTTTTCACAACGCTTGTGTTTGCGCAGTGGACGCTGAGAATGGACGCTGATGATGTCCTTCGCCTGCGTGTAAGCTGCAAGTAGGGACCTTATCTGGCCTTTAAAGGCATGCATGGGCGTAAATCCTGGGGGTATGAGGGATAATAGCCCCCTTCGGAGGGGGGAGGCTACTAGTGAATAACCCCACACGCGCGCGCCCTCACACAAACTGTTTGTGGTAAGCGAGAAAATCAAAGCGGATTGTGAAGAATTTTTCACAATCTAACAATCAAGATCACTCTAAAAAGGGAGAAACAATTTTTAAAAAGCCATAAATATGTCATTCTATAGAGTCATGGTGTCACCCCCCCCGACCCAGCTTTTCAAATTTTCATTGCAGAGCAAGTCATCCTCCCACAAACCTTACCCGCCCCACCTCCATTTCCGGTATCGTAAATTTACACTGCTGCTCAATTAAAAGAACAGCCAAGAGCATTCCCTCAATCCGAGGGATCTCCTTCAAGCGATGTACCCCAATCACTCAGTGTTTTCGTATAACGGTCCGGTGCCCTGAATCATTATAAATCTCTAACGGAAATTTCCGAGCTCTTCCTGCCATAAATTCTCCCCGGTGCTTGAAATGTCCAGTGATTGGAAACCGTGGGGCGCGCGCAGCATCCATTGTATCCGATGTTAATACTCAACACGATTAAAAATTACTCGACTCGAAATTAATCAAGCTGCTAGCTGAATTCAACGTCCATTACCTTGCGTCTCTTCAATAATTTTAAAGGAACAGTCCTCCTTGTGTCTCTCTTGCATATCAACAGCCCAACTTAGTTGGATAATGCTTTGAAAGGTGGAATTTGATCAAGTGATTGAAGTAGTGTTCAGTTATTTTACTGTGTCACGTGCACGATCAGCATCTGTGGTCCTTATTTTTTTCTAACTAATGTGCATAGCACAGTTCATGTACATGCAAGACCAACCTGGCGTATGGGTGTTTCTCGCGTTTACATGAATGCTGGTTCAAGAATCGGGGCATAAAAAGTTGAAGCAGTCTGAAAATGAAAAGTTGGACCATTGTTATACCAAATTTGTTGAACGAAAAACTAACACATCATTAAAACTAACCATACGACGGTGAAAAGAATATTTGGCACCATACGAGACATCCATTTATTTTTATCTCAACCCTTAATCCTATCGATTCCCTTCAGCGATTTTGGTTTCTACCCCAAGGGTGGTACTTCTGTTGTTCCCATCCTTCCGTTTACAGTCCTCGTAGCGTTAGGGGGGCAAAATCGATTTTTGTGCGCTTTCTTCTCTTTCACGAACGTCGTCCTGTCCATCCAGTCGGCACTGCGAGCCTGTGGTTTTGCGTAAAGGAAAATCGCGGAAAGGGACATTATAGACGACATAAACTGTCGGAAATTGGCTCTCCTCTTTTTCCTCTCGGTCATTTCTTCATCCTTGAGATGTAATTATGAAGAGGAGGGGAGTAAAGCCTTTTTCTGTAACAAGTAAGTGATTCGTTTCTCAATCTTTCCCAACAAAACTGTCCACTGCTGACTTCCAGCCGAGCCTGTGTGCAACCTGATGTATGGTCGTTGTACAAGATGCAGTGAGAGTTTGTCTTCCGCTGTAATGTAAATCCCGACTCGTTGGTCGGGTCTCTCGTAAAATTGGAAGAAAACAAGGAAGAAAATGTTGAGTTTTAGGTTAGAACGACCATTTCCGATTGATTTATTCGAGGAAAACCAACGGATTCAGGTAGAGAGTAGAATCCCGATTCACATGCTGACCTGAGCGGGATGTGAGCCCCAGCCGGCGCAGGGGTGTGGAAGGCAAATAAAGGTACCAACCGCTGTGCCTAATTCGACTATCCAGCTATTTAGAAGAATGATCATAAATTCCCGAAATAATCCAATTCTTTTGGTTGACAGGGTTCCTGTTGTTATTGGCGCTAACCACAACATCGAGTAAGTAGCTGTTTCCCCTTTTGAAATAAGTTTGAATTGAATGAAAGTTATCCTGGACGAAGAAGCCCTCCTAAGACAAAAAAAGGAAATTATCGGGGGGGGGGTTGCGTCAGTCTACCAGTACATCTCTATGCTTTTGACAAAAAAGCCTCAGTTTTCGAATTGTTTTTTCTTTTTTTGTTATCATTGTCATTGTTATCATGGTTGTCGTTGTTTTGTTGATGTTTTTGTGTGTAACTATATAGAGTTTTTTCAAAGTGATGTTTTTAGCAGGAAGGTTTTGTCGTTTTTAGATGGCATGTCACAATGCCGTAAGAACTGGAGCCAATATGGGACACAGTGCTTCTACGTCAACACTCAACATCTAACCTACACCGATGCGAAAGCCGCCTGTGAATCCTATGGCAGAGGGTCTACCATTGCCAGTATTTCCGACAGTGGTGTCAACAGTCACATACACTCGCTGATATCAGGCATTTCAAGCTCTAAAGCTTACATAGGTGAGGTTTATGTCTTAATTAATTAAGTGTTCGAAGTCGGGGTTCACACTTTCATAAATAAATAAATAATAGGCGTGCATCAATCCTACTTTTAAACTCGAAAACTCCAAACCCTCAGCGTTGTCCTTTCAAGGTTAAAAGGGAGAGCAAAACCGAAAATAGCATTTTTTCTGAACTACAAATTTACCGTCTGTTACTGGATTGTTATTTTTCCCCGATCGAATCTTAGTTTGCCTGTGAGCGTCCTCCGCGAGATCTTATGTCATTCATTCAATCGAAAGAAGAAAACTTCTTGTTTTGTTTCACGAGAGAGGGCGCTCTTACAAGTGTAAATGAGAGCCAGCCGCGCGAAGCTGAAAATGAGGCTTAGTGCTTGCATGCTGTTCGCCTTGTTGAAATAAGTAAGTTTTAAAGCTAGTCCAAAAGTTTAAGAACACAACGATTTATGCTTTACCCAACTATAGGCTTATTAACGTTTCATCTGCTATTTGTTCACTGGCTTATCTGTCAGTACTGGCGCAAGGCATTTCGTGTTCGTCGAAAATCCCGAATAAAATGGATTCCAAGCATACCAAGGCTCCGTCGATATGCTCGATGAGACCTCCATAATGTCGTATCATTGTGTTGGATATCGAGTCACTGCAAGTCGCAAAGCAAATTGTCCAAGTTATGGTTATACCGTGATGATAAAGATATATAAATAATTTGTGAAATAATTTTACGGCCTTTTTCAAACATTACGCTATTTCTTTTCATGCATGGCTGCTTTATTGTCATGGTTTGTTTTTGGCCTACATCATGCTTTTTAGGCCTAAGCTTTTTTTTAGGCCTTAACAGTGAAACATTAGTTAGCATTATCTAGCACTATAGCTGGAGACATGACCCTGTGCGCCTCGAGCAGAAGCGCCCTCATCATCGGTTGGAAAGAGCCGTGTTGGTTGGGAGTGCTAATTTTGCTGGTAGCCATGCAACCGTAACGTGTGCATTTCATCATCGTTCTTGAACCAGTGATGTTCAGCTCAGGCCAAAGGAACCTCAGTTAATGAGAAAATAGCGCCCTCTCTTGGTCTGGGTCTAGGCCCGTAGCTCAAGACATGACCTGAATAGCACTAGATGTTTCTTTAGCGAGCCTAACATTAAGGCTAAGTAATTTTGTTTGACATTTCCGTTTCGCTGCAGCTTTCCAGGATATTGACAGCGATGGGTCGTGGATTTGGGAAGATGGTGCCAGCGTATCCTACACAAACTGGAACTCTGGGGAACCTAACGGTGACCATGAAAGAAACTGTGCCGGCATGTACAAGTCAAACGGACGGTGGGACGACTTCTCCTGTACAAACCAGATTGCGAGCGTCTGCAGAAGTAGGTCGAGGCCTATTAGACGTCTGTGACTGAATAGTCCACCGGACCCAAGTGGCAAAATTAGGGACCTTGTGTCTGTACAGTCACGAACGTTAGCATTGACGTCTGTAGGCTACGTATTGTAAGTTTTTCGCGTGGTAACACACGTGACACAGGGAGGTAGGAACGTGACATGCATGATGTGCATTGGATGAAAACTGATCGTTCCCCTACCTGTATCTTTTGGGCTCTTTTTGTAGCCATTTGTAGGTATCCATGTTCAGCCCCTTGTTGAGACCCACCTCATATTGAACTTTGACCTTTGTCCCCAACCCTTCCACAGCCATCATCCAGTACACGGCTACGACCACCGGCTGCCCATGTTCATTTGATGCCACGCGCAACGACTGCGCTTGCTGCTACAGCGGAGGTTGCCACTGTGGTGCGGATTACGCCGATCGCTGCGTTGGCTGCGGCGGAGATTGTACGTCCGACGAAGTGGAACCGTTGGAGGGTAAGGCCACACGGCCAACAGATTTGGATGATTCAGAAAATTCCAGTTGGCCATGAGTATCTTCAGTGAAGCGTGAAGTAACGCTTACAAGTTAGTCAACCCTGCCGACTTGAGTTGGACACATCAGATTATTTGACTTATCTGTCATTGGTCAAAATCCTTCCTTTGTCGGTGTGCATTGATTCTGTGATGTCAGTCGTTGTTCGCTGCATGTCGAGTGTTCCTGCATTGGTAGGATGTACATGTAGAGCGCCCTCTGTTGAGAGATGTGTTTTGATTTCTTTGTAGAGTGGACACTCGTCTTCAAGCACATACGTTCCTCCGGGATCAACATCCGTGACCTGTGGCAGGGCGGGGACACCTACAATGATGGCTCAACCGATGCACAGATAGTGACCTCCACCTCTGCCCACTACAAGAGCAGCACGGCCAACCACTACGACACCAACCAAATCCAATACGTGAGTAGCTCAGAATTCTAGACCAAGTGGAGTTTTTATAGTTACCACACGATGCCTCATGTTCATTGTTAAATAAAAAGAAACAAAAACCATCTTTTCAAACTTTGCATTTGTTTCATGCAGGTAAAGCTGGCGTTCTACACCTCTGGCGGGTCAGAGGTCATGTCCATGACCTTTAACGCTGCAAATACCAATAAGAACTCTTGGTTTTCCTACGACGCTCTCCTCTATGCGCCGTATTCAGACATCTATACTGCAAGCAAAGGATTCTTCTCAATGGATGGGTGTGTTTACAGTTTTTTATTTTAAACTTTTTCAGAAACCACTTTGAGTTCCTGTCTAGAATAAAACAGCAGGACTCGCCTTGGACTCGTGAATTCAGCGTGAAACAATTCGTTGCATCAATTTTCATAACCAAGAACATCATTTTTGGATTTTGCCATCATACGAATTGTCCGGAACAAAACTCCTTGTTCTGTTTGACATGTACTTCATTTTACGCATTTGAGATCAGTTTCCACGTTGATAGCGTTTTCTGGTAATCTTCCCGGTGTCGGTTTTGTTGCTCATCCAAGGTGGCAATTGAAGAGATAAACTGGAAATAAATCCAACAATGGATGCGGTCGTTTCTCAACAGAGATTACAATGTTCGGAGGTGTTTTTTTGCGTGTTCATACTACAACGGCTGTGGGGGTGACGCGGGCTGGATAATGATTAAGGACACGGGCTATGCCGGCCCCTGCACCTACGACAGCTACTACAACTATCCTTACTTCACCTACAACACGGCCGGCACCCTGCAGGCATTTCAGAGTGGTGAGTGGCCAAATTATCCGCAGACTCACCCTCGTGCAGGTCATACTCCGTGCCAAATTCTCGAGCCGGTGAAATGTCAGATTTAAGGATTGAAAGATCGGGATTTTTTTTCCACAAGTGATGGATGTGCGTGGGTTGAGTGTTTTTGTTCAAAGTGAGTAATGTGTTTCTGAGTTTTCCGTGCAAAATCTGATTTGATAATTTTTGTTGAAGTTTGTTTGATGACTAGTGGTCTGTCAGTTTGTCACCTTGTTTTTCTTTCTGTACAGGACATTTTGCCTTTCCAGAAATCTTGGCAATTTTCTATAAGTACTATGGTAAGAATTTTAAACTCATTTCTTCCTTATCTGAATTCGTTTCCTATGGAAGCCTGGAAGAGCCACAATTGGTTCTTTTGTATTCTATCTTGCTTTGGCGAGTTACTATTTCACTTTGTCAAGTCACTATCTCGCTGAAGTGAATTATAATTAAGTACGTTGAAATATGTTGAAGTTCTGTCTCGCCACAAGTTAGGATATCCATGTGACAATTTGATTTTTCGCTGCAGTGAGCTCATCGCCTCAAACTTTCACTACAATTTTTTGGTAGAACGTTCAGTTGTTATTGTTATGCTTGAATGGTTCTCTTGTCTTGCACTCTTGCTTAAAGGAATTCATGCATAGACAAGACTTGGACAGTGACTCCAGTCAGGCATTTCATGGCTTTTCATTTCTCTGGCAGATACCTCGACCAACCAAGGCATTTGCGACGATGACTGGGACTTGGGCAACAGCGGGAGGTCATGCTACCGGGTGGTGGACTCGACGGTGACTTGGCAGGATGCCCTGGATGCCTGCCGCGGTCTCCGTAGCAATGCCGACCTCGTCAGCATCGCCAATGCCGACGAGAATGCTTTTGTGCTGACCATGTCGCGGTAAGGAGTGAGACAAGGGGGTCTTTGAAGAGGAATTTGCCCTTCAGTTGAACATATGTTTACTTTTCAAGATTCTGAAGAATTTCTCTTCCTGTTTTTACGCTTTAACTATTTGACTGTGTTTAATAATATAATATATAACAGTAAGCCAGTAACCTGTCATGTGCTCCCCAAAATTTCTGTCTTCACGGTAGCTTGTTTGTTGGTGGTTTGAGTTTCTTTTAAAATTTGTTTTCAAACATGTGGTCTGATTTCCAGATTTTTAACATATTTTATTCTTGTTCACGATCCTCCATTAATGAAACGGTTGGGAATCGTTGGATATTCAAGCCGGACGTTAACGTACAACGAATACTGGATCGGTTTGAACGACTTTGCCGTAGAGGGGACGTGGGAGTGGTCGGACGGCACCTACAGCACCTATACCAACTGGGCGTCGTCAGAACCCAACGATTGTGAGTTATTTAAAAAGGGAGCACTTTACAGTACAGGGGCCTAGCTGGGATAATGCCATGATGGACCTGGCCTTTGATTCAATCCAATGTCATCTTCAGGCCCAGTGTCCTGTTTTAGAAGCACTAGTTTAAAAACAACCCAGCTTCCTCTTAATCCTGTTCATGAGTTCTTTTGGGAATGAAAATGCTAAAAGAAGTCCAAATTTGATATATTTCTTATTAATGTGTGGGATTCCTGTCAAAGGAACATCAACGTTTTATTATTTCTTATTCCGTTCTTAATGAAATAGTGAAATCTTACTCTTAAGGTCTGGGATTTCAGTAATCAATCATCATGTCTGTGTTTTTTCTTTTTTTTTTCCCCCAGCAAGTGGAAAAGAGCACTGCAGCGTGATGCGATGGTCGACTGACGGATCTTGGAACGACGCAAACTGTGCCAACAGCAAACGCTACATCTGCGAGTATCCGCTCAACGTCAGTAAGTGAAGAAAGAGGTTACACAAATCAAATGGAGCACCTTCATGATTGGCCAATTAGTGTTAATAGCTAATACCCATGGTAGCTTGAGAGTTGGTGGGGGATGTAAAAGTGATCATTTCGACACTTTTTAGATCATCCAACCCGACCGGACACAAAAAAAAACAACTTCCCATAGAAGGCATGCACCATGTTTTATCATTAGTTGTAACTGCTTCTGTTTTCCTTTGTTTGGGCCAAATCCAGTCTCTTGCGCCGAATGGAAACGCCAGGGTTATACCAGCAGTGGTTACTACACCATTGATCCCGATGGGCCAGCCTTCGGCAATGATCCATTCCGGATCTACTGCGACATGACCTCTGACGGAAACACGGGTAAGACCAACTCCGGCAAATCTTGCCGTTTTTGGATTTAGAGGTGTGATATTTTGCAATCTGCTCCTGTCCATCCGAAAGACTCGTGCCCCTCGGAGAATATTTCAAATCACATCAGCTTCAATCTACTCTTTCTATAAGTTCCCATTCTCCTCAATCCGTACTAATTCGATATGTGTTTCCTGTTCAATCGATCTGAATCTTCACCGATCTCAGAAGAAACAGCTGTCAACTCGATACCCAACAACAATTTTGGACAATAAAACTGTCCTGGCTCATACTGAGCTGTTAACTTGTTCTGGCTTAATATTTTTTGTTTTGGGTGCTGCCAAGCACTCATGCTTGATGTTTTTACTTCATTGAATTCCTGCAACTCTTTCTCTTTCGGCTTGTCGTAGGCATCACCGTCATCAACCACAACCAGGAGATGCGACAATGGGTTAAAGGTTATGAGAGTTCGCGGTCCTACATCCGGTCGCTCAGCTACCGACCCGTCAGCGTTAGCCAAGCCTCGGCAGTGGCCGACATCTCGGGCGAGTGCTACCAGCACATTAAGGTATCTACACCCAGCTGGTAGGAAATCAGAGATGATTGTTGGGCCGTGCTGTACACGTATTCGTTTCTTTAGCAACAACCAGAAGATGTGAAAGCCACCGCGATCTTGTGATTTATCTCTGGCCTCGTGATAATGGCCCCACTTCTGGTAAAAGTTTAAGGATTTGACAGCTTAGAAAAGGGGGGGGAGATGTGGTTGCAATCTTCATTATTCCGACTTGAGGCGTTGCTGTGATCTCTTGGTAGAATGGTGTTATTTATCATACTGCTCTTGTTTTGTTGACAATCACACTTTCTTGCTTTTGCTGACCAGCATGCAACCAAGGCCCTCGTCGTATTTTTCTAAACACCTCTGAAAACTGCACAGAACACATTAATGCTCATGTGACTTAGCTGACGTGAAAAAAGTTGCTCTTCTGGAAGTGTTAAGACTCTTTTAAACTGGATTCTTGTTGATGGTTTTCTTGACTGTTCCTCTCACTTCTGCTACGAAGAACCACAAACCCCAAAATGCCTCGAAACTGTTTTGCAGGAAAAGCGGTTTGCACACAACCTGCATTATGTGGATCTCTTTAGTTCACGGGTCATCATTGGGTAAATGAGATTTCTCACCACAAAATGAGCCGAAAGTCAGACTTTTCAAAAATTGAGATATTAGTATTTTTGAGTTCAGCAGGAACAGAGCTTTTTATCCAGTGGTAGGTACACGGAACACTTAGGGTAGAAGTATAAGGTGACAAGGTGGCATTATTCTGGTAGCTTTGCGTCTTTGTTTCTGACATTATTTCGGATCAGGCACAAATGATGCTATTGCCAAAATTGCTGAGAAAATTAATTTTTAATTAAATATGTGATCCTGCGAACAATTTGGAATTAAATAGGAGACGGGTTACTCTTTCCAAATGTTACAAAACTCAAACATTGACCTCCATTTCAATATAACTTTGAACCCTCAAAATAGCAAAGAGCGGATTGCGACTTTACGCTCATTTTGTCGTGATGGGTCACATATCAGGTCAACACATAGGATGGGACTTTGCCCTGGATATGTACCCTTCTGTGTCTCTGGTATAGAGTACCAAAGTGTGACGTCATTTCAACCCGAAATGTGAAGTGCAAACTAATGGGGTTGGTTCACAGGCTGGCTCTCAAATTGATGCCTTCTTCACAGAATTGTGCGCTTGAAGTGTGAAGCATTCACTTCGATACATGCACTATATTCCTTCCAATCGTGGTTTTTTTTTTCCAGATTGAATGCTATGGCATGAGCATGAACTCTGGCTACCACACAGCCTGGTACACACGAGATGGTTCCATGGCCACTTACTGGGGTGGGGCGCCCTCTAGCACCAGCCTCTGCGCATGCGGGTATCAAGGTATGCTTGAAACGGTGACCCCAATCCAATAAAAATCCATTAAAATTGTGTGGCCACCCCCCCAGTAATTAATTCCAATTGGCAGATTCTCGTGGTCGGATGTCTGGGAACTTCCGTACATTATTGAATAGCACAAAGGGTAAATTTGCCACTTTGCCGTCATGCCGACTGCGAGAAAAGAGCTTCGATTGGCAAATGAATCCAAAATTGATACAAAAATAAATGATGTATGTTGTCCGTCGGCATTTCCCCTGAAGCATGAAATGCAGCGTTCAACGGATTTCCATTTCCCGCACTTTGTGAATTTTACGCGACACGAGGTTGGCGAACAAGTTACATCCCCCCCTCAAGAAAAGGCCTTTACTACGCCCTTGCAGGGAAGTTTTTGTTGTAGTTTTCTTGTCAACTTGTTTACATTTTTTTCTGGTCACTTTTGCCGTATTTTTGTCCTTTGACAATGTTTGTACCGTTTTCCTGCAGGTAACTGTGACGGGGGATATTCTCGCTGTAACTGCGAGGTGAACGACTATAACTGGCGGCTGGATGAAGGCTATCTGACTGACAAGAATGATTTACCCGTGACCGAGATCAGGGTGGGCGATACTGGAGACGGGAGCGAACAGGCGTACCACACCATCGGAGCGCTGTACTGCAAATATGACGAGAGTAGTAAGTGACCGGGGAAAATAGCATCGCTCAGAGTTGGCCGATTAAAACAATGCTGGTATTTCTTTATTAATGGTTTTTATTGTAATCCTTACTGTAACTCTCAGTGTTGCCAGTGTCGTGTTTTATTAATGAGGAGGGTTTTTCCGGATAATCTTTTTGTCTCCATTACATTGTCACCGTCAACTCCAGGGACATCTTGTTGTCATAGAAACCATCATCACTTTCACGTCAACATTACCCGCACATCATCACCGTCACTTCCACAATACAGCCGTTTCACAATAGTGCGCCATCAAGAGTTTGCGATGCGTTGGCCAATCACAATGCGCATAATTTGTCGACCCAATGCGTGTTTGGAAAGGGTCGACAAATTTCGCGCGTTATGATTGGCCACCGTGTTGCAAACTCTTGTGGTGCACTATTGTGCATCGCCTGTATTGATACCAATTTCGTCAGTATCCTATTTTCTTTGTGATTTCCAGCTATTCTTACTGACAGAACCGACTTTGTTGCCACCGTGAACGCCTACATCAGCGGCAACAATCAGGAGACGATCACCAGCACGACAATTTCAAACTGCGCCAGCCAGTGCGTGGCATGCACCTCGTTCCTGTGCGTCTCGTTTGATTTCAATCTAGACACCAATAATTGCTACCTGAGCACCGAAACAGACGAAACAGTGGGCCTCTCCTATAGCACTTCAGCAGTGTTTTATAAACGAAAGTGTACGTAGGATTCTTGAGGTGTTTGTTTAGATTATGAGCAAGTCTGCTATTCTTTTGTTTGGAACGATTTGTTTGTGGGAAAATGGCTTGGAACTGCTAGGCAGAATATAGTGACAGCTGCCAAGACAAAATTGGTTAAGCCCTTTTGGACACCGTTCATGAAAAGATTTCTTGCCAAACAAAATAAACGGAGTTTGTAAGAATGAGAAGTCACAGTCAGATTCCACGTGTCGACTATCAGCAAACAATCTCAGAGTCCCCACCCGCCAGTCCACCACAGAATCGGAATGCGAACACTGGTCAGTGGGGCTAGCTCCCTAATCTCAAAATGGTCAAGTCTGTACCGCTGCCATATCGCCCACTGACCCACCCATCGGGCATGGGATGCACCATGTCCAGCAGTGTCGGGGCAAGAAGCCAAAAAATAAGTCCCCCAAATTTGACACCTGTGCACAGGATGGGGTCCATGCTTGCACAAGCTGTCCTGAATGAACTTGAAACAGAGAGCAGGTAACAGGCATCTCAGGATGGGCGGAGTAACGCTTTTAGAGGGGAAGATGATGCTGTGCCAAGTTGAGGGCAAATTGTCGACCCGATTTGCTAGGCGGGTTTTTAAAAGTCCTGACAGTTGCTCATCTTTTTTCCACTTTTCTGACATCAATTCAATTTATAAAAGTTCCCTTTTTGCATTTTTTTATTTCTTATCGCGTAGTTCAGAGGCAGGAGAACCCCAACAGAGGTGAGTTTAGATTTGTTTGATGTAATGATTACCATTTTAATGAAAACGTTGTTCCCACAAAACATGAACTCTCTTGATCAAAGTGTCCAGATTTGAGACTTATACATTTGGCGCCATTACTTCTTCCTTGAAAGTTCAAATTACAATTTGGCATCACTTGATTTTCAAAAGAGAGCAAAGAAAATCCAACTTTCCATCAAAAGTCGCACCTGCTTGTCACGAAGAGAGAACCAGAGTTATAAACACGGTTATACTTTTTCCTCCATTCCAGAGTCCAATAATTGTCCCAGTGGATGGGCGGAGTATAACTCCCACTGCTACTATGCGGGGGTCAGTTCGAAGACGTGGTACGATGCCGAGATTTATTGTGAGACAAACGGAGGTGAGCACGCTATAGTAAGCCGGCATTTCGTGAGAAATTACTTGAGAAATTTGAAGGACCCACGCAGATTTTGGTTGTCCTGGAGTTCAGCAGCCGCAGTGGGCCTCTGTCTGGCATTTATAGCGTAACGATAATTATTAATACAAACATTGCCAAAGGTTTCTTTTTAAGTGAAGCAAATTTTTTTAAAGGAATTATCGTCCACTGTTTTCATCTTAGGTGGCGCTTTGGTCTCTGTGGACGATGATGCGGAGCATGAATTCCTGACAAAGATAGGCCGATGGGCCAACCCTTCGACGGAGTATTTCTGGATTGGAACCAACGATATCGAAGTTGAAGGTAAAAATAAGATTCTTGCAAGGTGTTGTGGAACTTCCACAATGGCGACTGGAAAAAAGGCCCAATTCATACCACAGAGTCTCTGCATGTCTGGTGTTTTAATTTGACGGCTTCACTGACATGTCAGACGAATACTTGCTCGGTGATGGATATCTCACTTTGTGCTCTTTTTTTTTCAAGGATTGTGGGTAAATGTTGACCAATCAAACACCACTTACAGTCGATGGAGATCAGGAGAGCCCAATGGAGACGCCATCGAAAATGGCGTCCTGATGTCTGTGTACACCAACTACGACTGGATCGATGTGGGCGTGGACGGGACCTATCATTTCTTTTGTGAGGCTACAGTCGGTAAGGATATGCCTTTGTGGCTCGATCTCAAGCACAGCATTGGACAGACATCAGAATACCAGGGATTGCCTTGGTTTCTTCCCAGCTGCCTCCCCGCTGGCCCACTCCCCAAAACTGTCCACTTTCCTAAGTTGTCTTACTTTGCTAAGGCCAAGACTTCCCCATGTTCTACCTATACAGTGTCAACAGTTTCAAAGGTGACGGTTTCCTTATTTCCTCCAGATGAAGAGTGCAGATACTTTCTCCTTGCCTTTCATTTCTCACCACCCTGACTGGAATCCCATAGCGTCAATCTCTCCGTTTCTTTTGTCAGTTTCAAACCAACTAAGCAGTTTGTCAATGAGGTTTCTGGGCAAAACCAGACTCTTCTTGTCAAATCATTGAAAGAAGGTCTATCAGGATGCAAGACAACAATTAAAAAAAAATCGGCAATGCCATTTCATTTAACTGTGTTGGCTCGCGGATTTTTTCCAGAGCTCGTAGGAAAGGCTTCACAACCTTACTGGTTTGGACGGGAAGTCTGTATCAAAGTTGGAGTCTTACGCTGATCAAGCTTATGACAGACTTGTGATATTCAAATTGGCATCCCCCGTTGCAAAAATTCCATCAACACTTTAATAAAAATCAATAAATTTATAAAAATTGACGGAAGTACCTGAACGATAAAACTCCACTATTTTACAAATGATGGTTGTTACAGTGCCAATACAAACCATGTTTTCCATTCTGTTCCGTGTCACCCCCTTCGCAGGTGCTAGCGCCATCCCTGCACCCACCACCCATCCCCTCTGCCCCTCGGGTTGGTTCCACGATGACCACAGCTGCTACTCCTTCTCCGGCAGCGCCACCAGCTGGGACGGAGCCCGATCAGCCTGTCAGTCCTCCAACGCTGACCTGGCCATCATCGACACAATGCGAGAGTTCAACTTCCTGCTGGACCTGTGGCGGTATCGATACTCCACCCAGCGGTTCTGGGTCGGGCTGACCGACTCGGCCAGTGAAGGTGGCTGAATACTTAAACCTTCCTCCTAGAACCCGTTTTATCTCAAAGTCTCACTTGTCATGTGCTTTGAAATCATTACCTCAAATTACCTTGAACTTGCAAGATAGCTTATTCAATCTTTGGGCAACTTCTTAAGTTCATTGAACCTTTGACTTTTATTTCATTATGAGAACGTCAGGCAACTCTTTTTATACCAAGGTAAACTTGCCACCACGTACGGTATAAACTTCACGTTACTTGTTTTGAAGACAACTGATTGAACCAACTTCTTAATATCCCAAATCAAGGAAGGCGATTGGGATTAGTGTCTTGTTTTCCTGACCCAACAGGAGATTTCCTGTGGCTCAACGATGACGCCTTCTCACTGAATCCATCCGTGTGGGATACCGGCAGTCCGGACGACGCCGGTTCCAACGAAGACTGCGTGGAGTTCAACACCAACCGAAAGTTGAACGACGCAGACTGCAGCGCCTCCCTGTACTACATATGCGAAGATGATCTGTGTGAGTTGACTGTCATTATCGGCTGCCTTCCCTCGCACCTGTCACCCCTCTCTCCGCCCCTCTAACCCTAACTCTCCCCGGAATGTTTTTGTCTCTGTTCACTTCAACAGCATCTTACTTTGACTTGACTTGGACTCGTAATTACGCATTATTGGTCAGATTCTTGAAATTGATTGCAGTCAAAGAAATGATTTGACAGTGGAATTTTTTTTTTTCGCAGATCCTGTTGCGCGCCCGGAGAACTTTAATGTTGAGGTCAAAAGCACCAAGGAAGTTGAGATAACGTGGGACACGACGATGTTGGCTGGCGCCCAGGATCACGATATCGCAGGCTTCAGGGTATGTAGTGGCAGTTGATGGGTTTATCAGGAATGGCACCTGACTGCCCGACTGCACAAAACTTACTTACCTCTTTAACAGGAGTTAATTTTCGGCCACTTGTCTGAAGTTGTGCCTTTGACTTATATTTTGTCATTTCTGTGGTAACTCCATTGCCAAGTTGGATTTGTTTACAAATCCACAATCAGAAATACGTACTCTCAAGGTGATCCGCACCTACAGAAAAAACCTCATTTCCAACCGATTCACATTTCTCAACCGAAGAAAAAGATTTTGAAAGTGTGCTTTCAATCGAATTGTGGCCATTTTTTTACACAACTTGTACCTTATGATATCGAGGATTAGGGCAATCAATTCTTCAAAATTGTTTTCCTGTCAACTCTAGATCTATTATTGGGTGTCCGATCAAATGAGCGCCACCCAGGCCAACTTTTCCGTGGAAAGCAGCGTGCGACGCTATATCCTTTCAACTCTTATGCCCGGCATCAGCTATGAGTTCACACTTACAGCCTTCACCACTCAAGGGGAGGGGCCTAGCGTGGACCCCCCTGTAGAGGCTACGACTCAAGCCGCAGGTAAGTCAAGGAACCAGACAGGCTCTCCACACAGTCACATGCAAGCCTAGATTTGGAGTTCTAAAAGTAGGAACATCCCAAAAACTTACACAGGGACACAGTGACTACTTTCTGTTTACTTGAAAAGTGAGACTGGGTCATTTTCCACATTATTACTTACTTTCAACGTGAGACATAAGAAACCTAGAACCTTGTGCTTCCCAACTATGCATGATTTTCAAACTCATATTTATGACTATTCATCTTTTACGCCTTACGCTGAGTAATCGTTTAACATCTAACCTTGCTTGAAGCAAAAAAAGTTATAGTTTATCTTGCGTCTTGTTCACCAGTCATCAGGACAGACACCAGGCGTCTGAAGGTTTATGTCATCCAGAGAGGCCAGCGACTGCGTCAGCACGCCTTGTCTGACGTCCAGATGGCCAGCTTCTCACAGTGCACCAACGCCTGCACGGCCGACGAGAGCTGCCTTTCGGTCAACTTCCACGAGAAATCGCGCTCGGCGCTGAAGACGTGTGAGCTGAACGGTGACACCCACACCGGAAACGCCGGGGACATGGAGGCGGACCGCGAGTACATCTACGCGTCAGTGGAAGGGTACTAAACGAGTTGGCTCGGTCCCGCTTGGAGATGAAGCTGACCTTGCATCGTGTTACCTAACAGACCAAGACTTGGGCCAAATCAGAATCAATCTGCAGACTCCCATTCTCGTGAAATCAGATTAACTGATCCTAGAGACTTTGTTGATAAAAAATGATTGCGGTGCCCTGTGAAACCTCAATATCATAATCATAATGTGTTGATTTGTCATCAAAATATCTTCCTAAAATATGAATAATTTGCCTTCTTTTATAAAGCGTAGGTGTTCTGTTGAAGTTAGAATTTTGTAGCAAACTGACAATAAACCAAGTTATTAGCAAGAGTTGCTAATGAAAGCATGCTTTTCAATTAGAAGAAAATAAATTTTGAAAAATTGTGAGAGTTTTTACTTCGGATCATCTTTGATCTTGTCTCGTTTGACATTCAGTTTATTACTTTAACAAGCCTTGACTTCATTGTAAATATTTGTACGGAGTTTAGAAATTGGAAAGGTCTCCTATTTAGCATTAATTTTGTGTTCAATGAAAATTAGCAATGAATTGTCAGTGACTATTTAATAAAGAATAAGGTGATAGATTGAGCTCTACTGGTCACTTCATCTTGCCATTGTCTCGATTGTTCTAGAAATTTCAAATTGTAAATATCTGATTGGCGGACGAAGACAACATAGATTGGCTGATAATTCTCTGCCTCAAATGCCGACGTGAAATGCCACCCTTCAATTGAGGACTGCTGTAAGGCTTTCGAATCAAAGTGGGATGTTTCTCTTTCTCTGCGAGAAACCACGTGCGCACCGTTTATTCAAATCGGCCTGGGCGTTTTCTCGAGTCAGTGTCTTTCGAATAGGCCTACAAGGAATTTCAATTCCTAGCATTTTTGTGGTTATTTTCCCTCCCTTCGACATAACAAACGCGAGCACAAGGCTGGCTAGTGCACTATAGTGTCTGTCTCTGACGAGCTCTAGAGCGGGCGGCGGGCTGCGGGCTGCGGGCTGGTGGCAAGGCTCTCACGTTTCGGTCGGTGAAATGACTCCCAACCACCGAAAGGAGGCCTGGAGACGAGGACGGATTCATGCCAATGTCTTGGAGGCGATTTTCCTGTAGCCAGTGACGATTAAAATGGCAAACTCGATGACAGTTTCGTTTCACATAAAACTTTGGTAAATGCGTTTGCCTGATCCACACTAGATGATACTGGAACACAGTCGAATTGTCATCGTTTTAATTCGGGGGAGCTGAAGCCTGTCGTCTGCTGCAAGGATGACACCGACAGAACATGGCCACTTCTATCTGTGCGTGTATTGGTTAATGAGCAAGGTGGACATGCAACACATGCGACAAGACACGTAAGTTTGTTAACGTTTGTATATTTCTGATCTTTATTTTGTTTTTGCTAAAACTGAGCACCCAGACTCCCGAAGACTTCTTTGAATGAACCACATTCCACAGTCCCATGAAATTCCTTGTACTTCACCCAACAAGGAGTATTGAGTCATCACGCACACAGATTCAGCGGCTAAGTTGACCTTTCCTAAATCTAGGCCCGTCGTGGTCGATTATTAAGCCAAGCTTTGACCGACAAATTTTAACGAACAGACCAGTTTGGTACGCCTACTTAATGTTGAAACCCATGCATTTCTAAAAATTTCCATATCACACAGAAATACCTATATGCCCAAATTTATGGTCTAAACTTTAAAATATCTTTTAAAAAAATGAACTTGATCGGTACTTCGGTATTTCGACTTGAACATTTGTCCGAATTTTTAATCCGTTGTCACAATAAACACGCAGGTTCTTGAAATAACGCACGAACACTAAAAAAAAAACCAGATCAATCTTCGAGGAACCACTAATGTCGTTACAATAACTGATCAAACATAACTGATCAAACCATGATATAAAAACTTTGGTTGTAATGTTTTAGGCAAAACCAATACAGGTAATTACATAATCATGGGGGCTTAAAGATGGCAAACAGAATCACTTCCTTCTTACAGACTTGTCTCCTTTTTCCATCCATTTTAGAATATCCCCGTCCAGATCTTGTCCACAAACTTTCGGGATTTCAATTTCTTTATTCTCGTGATTTCTTCTTTTTCTGTAAGTGTCACGCGTAGGCGGTACGCCGTCCATATCTTCCGTGACGTCAGCGTACTTTGAGAAACTCTCCAATAAATTCTTGACTCGCGGACCAATAGTTATGGAGGCCCTGCGCAGGCGCTGTTGTGTTAATGATGAACTTGGTAACAAAATGGCTACGTCCAAGGGGTCGGCTTGCTGGCTGTAGCCCTTGTTGAGTTGGCGTTGTTTCCTTAGAGAAAATTCACGAGGTACTTTTTCCTCTCGTGGGCTTATGAAGTTGCTGTTTCTTACCCGAGTTTCCGAGATGTCACGGCAGAGTCTGGGTACATCTCTAGGGGACACTTCCCCGGGGCGGTGGTTGAAGAGAGCCGCGCCCTTCCTCGGCAGATCTTTGCCGAACACCGCGGCGAGTTTGGGCTTGTAGACGTTCTCCACGGATATTTTGTTCTCGTTGACGGGAAGCAGGTAACTGATCCCTCTCTCGGTGAGCGCGTGCCTACCCAGCGCGTCCCGTAGCTCAGTCAGCCGGTGCAGCTGGTTCAGTTCACCCACAGGTGGTGGCTGCCGGCTCGCCATCTCGTTATCCTCCTCTGGAAAATCCGCAAAGGTGACTTTCTTGGAGTTGCTGCTCTCCGAGGTTGGAAGTTCATCTTTGTTTATCTCACTCAATCTCCGGGCATATTTGTTGGAGATATTGTCTGGCATTTGTTCATAGGCCATTCTCAGTACATCCATGTTTAAAAATTGTATTTCATGCGGCTCCCCGGGTCCTTTGTTTGATCGAGCTCATTATGTCTTTCGAAATTTCTCTACCCGTTTCTTCTAACGCAAATTCACTGAGGCATATTTTCGGATCAGATGTGGGTGAAAACGTTACATGACCATCCACCTCATTGCCAGCGCGGTTTTATTCAAGGCTTGAAATTCGAAAAAACGCTGATCTTCAATCAACAGCAATGGGAAAACTGCCATCAAACGGGAGAAAACTATTCAACGTAGGCCGCCATTTTGGCGCCATTAGTAAATTTGCACAGAATTATTAATCACCCATACTCTATCCATCCGAATGCTTCAATGTCGGTGTCCGTGAAACGAATGATTTATTTATTTATTAGATAAACACTTCACTATCGATTCATTCTCGTTATGGTGCGCCGGACGTGCTGAGAAACTTACGGTAGGGATTATACTGACAACTAGTGGCACTTAGCAACTGTAACTACCTCATATTGACAAGATCGATCCCCTCCCCCATTCCAGAGAATAGCGAACTGCGCTCTGGCAATGTGTCGAGGTAGGGGGGGCGTTTTGCAGATTCCCGTACGCCAGCTTTTCACGTTTGTAACTATAGGCTCACTATGCAATTGTTTCCACCCATTCTGCAACAGCCAAAAAGGTGTACTCACTTAAAAGTACATACGCATGAGAAAAAAAGAGATCTAAAGTTATTGATTTTTAAATGAGTGTGGTAAGGTGGTGCACTACATATTGATCAATGAAAGTTTGTCGTAACTTACGTGGAACGTTAGAGGGCGACAGAGTACACCACTTTTGACCGAATATCATGGAATTTGACTCAAGAGGGCGTACATTACTGTTACTATTAATTTTTTTTCCAAAACTATTTTGCCGCTGATAGTGAAAGATACGGCTGTATCTATTGTTAGCACGTGATCATGGATAAAAATCAGTGGAGACCAATAGACACATGATTTGGACGCGATCATAATCTCTATAGTGATTGTGTTTTTAAAAAAAGCCCAAATACCAACTGAAATATTGTGTTTCTCACAGTTTGATTCCAACGCCTGTACATGGGATCTTGACATTGAAAAGCACACAAGCACTGTAACTACACAATATCGCTTTATCGACGTTGGTAGCCAATACATCTTGATTTGGAATCTTGATAGAGTCTCAACGACTATTTTCGAGCCCAGTTCAGAAGATACCCATTTTCTCCGTCCAGTGATGATAGTAAAATGTACCTATTTTTAATTATAAAAATGCTTTTCTACTGTTGGCAATATTTCTCTCGAAATACATATATTTGTGACCATACAGGAAGGACACAGGATACACGTATAGAAACCTTCTTTTTTCATACATCATGAACATAGCAGGTATTCCTTTATTCTACTTTGTGATTTTGTTATTCTTCATAGGCTATACATCTCATTTAAAAAACTCAGCTCGACTTAAAACAAAGTACCCGTACTCTGTGTAATCAATCAAAATACATATCACAGTAAAAAATAAACGAAGAATCTTTGAATTAGTACAAATGAAAACAATAAAACTTAGAATATCGGAGTCGTGTTTACGTGAGAGCAATGAGTGATACTCCGGCAGCTAAATCTTCACATGGCTCTCTTTTTAGTCTCTCCACATCTTCTAACCATCGACTTATTCTCTCAACCATCTCATTAGCTGCCTCCTCGTCGTCTAAGTCACGTCCGGGGAGGCTGTGAGAAGCATCGTGCCCGTGATCAGGCTGGAGTTCTTGTTGTGGGTGGGCTAAAGTCCCCGTTGGACTCTGGTAGATATTCGGCATGAAACCGCTCCGTCTGGGTTTTCGGAGCGTGGTGTTATTCAGGAAGAGGCGCTCGGCTGCGATGTTTGCATCTTCCATGCAGTCGACAGTGTCGATCAGTCGATCGTCTCGCAGGTCGACGCTGGCGGCAGCGGCACGTGTGCAGAAATCGCTCACCCTGGCCGACACGGCGCGGAATTCCCTCTCGGCGCGGACCCTTATGTCCCTTCGTTTGTTCTCCAGCAGATGCTCATTCTCAAGTCTGCTTATCCCCACCCCACGGGGGTTATTCGTTCCTCGCTGGGCGTGCGTGTCCTGGAGAGAGGAGCGATCACTGACACTCAACGGCAGTCCTGGTACCGACATGGATCGTTTGAGAGTCCGTCTAACAGTAGCGGGTCGGGCCTTGTCGATCGTGGGCGGTGAAGGCTCCAGGCTCCCAGACCGACCACTGTGCATAGACCCGGTCGATATCCGTCTGCGTTTCTCATTCTGTTGATCAGCCACTGTCGACTTCAAGTCGTCGATCTTGGGTAGACGAAAGGAAGCCATATCTTTATCTGCTGTTTTTCGAAACTGTTCATCACGTTATCGTCTCGATTCCATTTCATGAATGGTCACTGTGCGCTGGTAGAATATCTGGCTATGTTCTCCCCTGCCTCTGTCTTTCCGTATGAACGTCCATTTTAATGTTCGCATTGTTGATATAGTCTGTCCTGTAATGGAATAAAACAACGGCACTAAAGTAAGTCATTTCCAGCCTCATGATAACCCAAAATTGCTTAAACATGTCATCTGTATGAAAGGGGCAAAAGCCACTTTTTAAAACCGTCTGAACAACTTTTCATATTTTAAAGGATTGACAGTTTTTGTATTTATTTTTTGTGTGGCCTCTTTTGTGTAGGCCTAAGGTTTGATTCTCAGGGTATAAGCATATTGGCACTTGTTTGAAAATTACGATACTGGTCTTTACTGATGTGGTCTTTAAATTGTTCAATAAAGCGTACCGGTATTCCATATGTTAACCGGGGACTGAATATAACGGGACACAGTTAACTTATCGATTGTGATAGGGATCAGTCCATCGATCAGACATTTCAAGAGTCACACCTGGGGGGGAGTACCTTGTGGCGTTTATTCCCTTGCATAATTAGGCTAATATGACCTGTACTTCACCTTATCTGACCACAAGGGGCAACTTGTGTAAGGTATCGATACCCTGAAAGACCCGAAGGTGGGGAAATGAGTATGGGACGGGATTTTTCGAAGGTCGACTATTCAACTCAGTCGGTGAGTGGAGAAGGCCTTCGTGACGAATCGAAGTTGTGAAAATGTTGTTTTTTTATATGATCTAAGGCATTGGTGCGAAAACCCCTGCAACCTTCAAAATCAGTTTATTACCTGATTAATTTGATGGCTCAGGTACTCGCCCAAATCGTCGCAAAATTGCAGCGAATATTTTTGGTACTAGAGTCGAATGTTTACTCTGCATACAGGTAGGGAAAAAATTGATGCGGCAAGTGGCAGAAACTCAGATAGCGTGTACGGTCCATTTGTACGAGCTGGATTTGTGACAATTTGAATATTGGATTAAGCGACTCATTCCCTTCAGCAGCTGAGGCTCATAAGTGCGTTCTGAGGGCCACCTTTATTTGCCATCCCGTCACACTCCTCAACCCGCTGTCGGCTTCAATTTGGGGCAAGAATTTAAAAGTGTAGCCCACTTCAAACCACTTGGCATGGGCGATAACTACAAATATTGACCGCGTATTGATTAAGGCTCACGTAAACAATGAACTGGTCGGTTCCTGAATGTATTGACTCTGCCAGCATTTTGTCATTGATTTGTACACGTCATTGTGTTTCATTGTTCGGTCAACACACCCATTGTTCAGTTAGAAACCCCTATCAATAAGAGTGTAGTCTTGCTTCCCGCAAACAATGAGAAAGCGAAACAGAGTACAGGACTTCAAATCTTGGATGAATATAATTATGTACCATAATTTTATTTATATTTATTTATTTAGCAGTACTATGTACTGCAAGTATTGTGAATTGCTTTATCATAATTCGGCCCCTAACTTTCACAACTCAACAATTCATCTAAAATATTTATATTACCGTAAACATTAAATTCACTTCATACAATAATTGTTTGGAAACACTTTTCGCATTCTTGACACCTATTAATACCACTCGTTTTCACATTTACAGGCCTTTGTTACCATTTTAACCACATGCGACTGGCACAAAGATTAAGAAATTATCATTTCCACAATACAAATTTCAGCCAGGTGTCATTTTTTCGGCAATTAAACCAGGTTACTTCATTCAGTGGTTACCACCTAAGATTGAATTATAAGAAAATTAAAATCCGTAGTCCTCAAACCTTATCCCAGTGTTAAGTTTACATTTTTACCCCAACAACGTGGACTCCAACCAGACTGTGATTTACAACAGGCCTCGAGGGGTAGGATCAATATATCATATTTATCGGCTCTAATATTGCATTAATGCATTTTACATATGAATAATTAAAGCACTTAAAATCACACTATAGGAGATGATAAAAAGATAATATACTTTCAATAAAATACACCTAAGGACTCAATACGAAAAAATGTCCCTGAAACAGTTAGCAACTTACTTTCATAGCGATGTCCTCTCAGCATACCGAAAATGTAACCGAAAGTTGTTCATTCCCCAAAGTCATTAACATCATAGGACCCTTCTTCAATGCTAGCATGTAAGTTGGGAATTTATTTAGGAAATATCTAGCAATAACTTACAGTTTCGTCCTCCACTTTTTGCTCACAAAATAAATTTGTTCAATCATTTCTTCGTTACGAGGCCGCTGTATTCCAATGTAATAGCCAACGCGGAGTCTGGCAGATGTAGTGGGCAAAGTGGCGCCCGCGACTTCGTCGGTATGCGAAAATGGTTACGTAATTCTATGTCTAACGCCCTCTGGTGACAGCAAAACTTTTCTAAGAAACATAGCGCTTTTATCACCTCCACCTAAGCCGGCCGTGGTCGTACGGTGCACGCGGTTGGCTCCGAAGAACGGGTGATACTCGGACCGCCTAAAACGAGGTCGCTCGGGGAAACTGCAGGTCCGCTTTTCGAGTCAAGATAAATGTTAGCAAAAGTGTTAAGCCAGGACGTATGTCATTGGAGGTATGTGTACTGGGGCAGGCATAGATTAGTTTTTGTCTCCGGTCAGCCAATGATCATCCTTAATGCTGTTACGCCCCAACTATGACTATAGCAAGTCCCAACTATAGTTGGGCCCGTCCCAGCCAGAGTGCTACAGTCGGGCCGGCCCAACTACAGCACAGAGGTCCTGTGTGCATAATGTGCCCAGCATGTGCCAAAGTCATATTGTTTACAAATGTCACGTCATTGGGCTAAATGCCACATTTTTGATGAATTGTGTCAAGTGTGAGACACATTGACTTGGATAATGTTGAGACATTTCCCATAGACATTGGTCAACAACAGTTGGGCCAGCCCAACTGCAGCACTACAGTTGGGACCGTCCCAACTATAGTTGGGACTTATGCTATAGTTGGGGCGTAACAATGACAACTTACGAAGATATCTTCACCATGGTAATGAAATCGCAGTAACTGCGGCGCTGGGCTTGGAAAGGACGATGAATCAAAACTATGAACATCTTTGCATATTTCCAAAAAGGCGGGGCGTCCAAGGACTGAAAATTATGTGTAACAATAAAAACTGTATACCAAATGGGTTCAAAACCAGTCGGCTGAACACATCTCGATGCTCCCTAGTCAGTGCTGTCTCTCATTCAGTGAGCGGGCTGTGCCCCGCTAGCTGGAGATAACTCTGACTGGGGTGGAACGAGGGATCCGGTAGGTGCCCCAACCATTTTGACCAGGAATTTGTACACACACACACTGTAAGCGGTGATTATCGAAACAAGATATAACTTCTAAAGTAAATCACTTCCTTCACTCATCAAACCGTACTGGCCTTCAAATCACTATTTAAGTAAAACGTCACACTTTCCTGAGTACATTTTCTATCTTTTTTATTTTACACTGAGGCAAGTTCAGCTATATACACAATTCCCATCGATTCGCACTTATCTGGAAGACAATATACTCCGCGATGTCTGCGAACATTAAAATACACACAGACACGAATGCATCCAAGCTCTTCTGTACATAAAAGCGACCATTATTGCACACTGTCCGTGCACGATGTACATGTAGGCATGGAACACCGCTAAATCTACTGAAAATATAAAACACTTTGATCTGGTTATTGGAAAGACAAAGGAGTGCGGAATAAGTAGGCCCCGTTGGCACGACTTGGAAAGTGCATTCCACATTCTAACCAACAAAGTTGTCAGTTGATTCAAATGTAACTAAGAAGTTTGAAAACAAATGCAATTCAGATAGAGAACATCAACCCCCAAAGAAAAAACAGCTTAAATCATTCTTTTAAAAAAAAGAGAGTTGTCGCTTACACATGCTTAAGTCACCTATTCAATTTACGGTCACAACTTATCGCTAACATGTACCCTGTGTAACACTTGAACTTAAGTACTTATTTGAATGAGGCACACTGTAAACTCGCTAACAAGGGGCAGCCGGGAAATGTTAGTAAGTATGTGTGCGCATGGATGTGGGACACAAGTCGACTGCCGTTTTTTGATAGAGAATTGAAACTAGTTATCCTTATGATGTGGACAACATTTAAGGACCCAAACGTTGAGATAGAGTTCGTCCGTTCTGAGAAATTTGGATGGGGTGGAAAATACAGTTGAACAAGTTCCTCAGGGTTGGAAAGGAAACCCTGCAATTGGAACTTCGCTCTCTGCAACCCGAGTTGTATGTTTTGCAAACCTCACATTTAATTCGTATTCGTATATCTCTTACTCAGAATATCAACATTCCTTTGCAATATCTACATCTTAAATTACCATTATTTGTTTGCATAGGCCAAATTATTTACAAATAGCAAATTTCAATCATTTCCATTAAAAAAAATAATTCGAGTAAATATACTACCGAAAATATTCTGCTGCTACAAAACAATAGCATTTCTTTAAATATCAAACGTAAATGTGACAATTATTTTGTGTGACTTCAAATATCACACGGGGAAAACCCCCCATGCTTAAAAAACAATGATCGACTGACCACAAGTGATTTGGAATGCTAACTCACCATAGCTTGGAAGATCCTGGATACAATCTGCATTGATCATTTCAAAGAAATGAATGCAATTAATACCACATTATTTCAGTATGAAACCACGGTGACTGTTTGCTGCCCAACCTGTTCCTTAGCCAAATGGGACAACTTTTATAAACTGAGATTTGAGCTCTCCTGAGCAGAAATTCTCAGATGCACCCTGACTGACCTTGTGTAAAAGGTTAACATCCAAATGTCCAGGTGACTACATGCTCCTTTGTCTTAATACACTGTTTCTTGGCTGTTCAGATGCCAACGATAACCAACACCACCATTTCGGAATCTCTCACTGGAAGCTCTCTATTTGCATAGGTGCGAGACTGCGGGTATCAATATCATTAACCTTGAGTAGTCTTGTGAGATTGGGGTTAGGGTTGTGAGGCTTTCCTCTTCCTAAGAAAGGCACTGTTACTTTTAAATGTTGGCACTTTCACTTCCTCCAAAATATTTTCAAAAATTCTACCAGCCCTCTCTCCCCAGACCTGCTACTGTCTTTGATCCTGCCAAACAGAGATACCTCGTAGCTAGGCATCTCCTCCAGTAAAGGTTGCCGTGTGCATCTGTGGATCTAGTTGGACTCATCACAAACGGGATTGAAGCTCTGAAAACTGGAGGTATTTTGAGCCAGACTGAGATGGGTTCAGCCAGGAGTGGCTGTCCATGGAATTTGTGGTATTTGCACAGAGCTACCGGGCGTTGAGCGCCTCTGTGCCTGGTGGAAACTTTATGTATATCACCTCCCTGGATCTCTTAAGTTAGGGCGACTTCTGAAGCTGGCGAGCTAGCCAAACAGATCACAAGCAGTCATCCTTGCTGTCTGTGGCCTCCATGAATCCAAGCAAAATACTCAATGAGGTCGAGGGTGGCTCACTCCGTCTGGCAGCTGGGATGTTGAGACCCGTCAGTTGAGAGTAACTCCCGTTTACAGAGTTGGTCAAAACATTGCGGTAGGCATCCACTCGTGCTGAGTCGTTTAACTTTAGAGTGCCAACCCCTTTCACAGGAGGGGTTTCCTTGCTCGCAATGTTCACGTAAGTTTAGCCTTTTCCTTCCCATCCACTCAAGTCCCAGGCTTCTGGCTCTGACAATGTCTCATACCACCTCTCCGAAACGGAAGCCGGTAATGGTCTTATTTTCATTGCATGCCCAGGTATGGTTGCGTTAGTCTTACGGTTGTGTTTGGCAGTGGGAAGTCTGAGTAGTGTTGCAACAGTTCCTGCATGTTTGAAAAAATTGGCTCCGTGGTGAGAGAGAATGTATTCACCTGCAAAACAAAAACGCCAAAAAATAAATAAATAAACAAATAACATTTCACAAGAATTCTTATATCGACATGACTAATACTTGTCCCAGACAGCATCAAACGTGGACCTATGTAGGAAATTTTCAAAACCAAACCAATTCAACACAAAATATAAGTTTTGAGATGGAACACGTTTTTACAAACTTTACTACAATTTAATATTTTTTACAATTATTACAAGAAACTACAATTTATTACAAAATAACGCAATTCAAACCCACTTAGGATTATGACTGAAGGACATTTAAAGAGAGAACAATATTAGCGCAGGAGAAACATCAGAAGAGGTAACTCTGGTTAACTCTGAAGCAGCAGGTTCTTGAAGTTCTTGCCACCTTGCTTACCTCATTGCCAAAGACTTTGTAATGCTTGCACTGATCCAGGCTCTTGTGATAAACCATTAAGACCTGGCCAAGAAGTAAGAAACGAGAACCAAAAAAGTCACTTTGATCTTGATGTTCTCCAATTCACAGGCACTTAATGAAATTGAAACTTTGGTTGAGAGTCACATACTTGCCAGCTTCAAATTAAAATGGCACTGTTGTGTCAGGCCTGTTTCACTGTCATGACAATTTGAGAGTGTTAGAGAATCCTGTTCTGGTAACAGGGAATAATCAGTTTTGGGCAACCCACCTTTCCCGGGCCGGCACTCAATCGCAGCAGGTACATTCCGTCGACACAGTACTGGCACAGCATCCTGCCATCAACATAAGAGTAACAGAGAGTTCATGCTTGGGGATATTTGAGCTTTTGATTGTGTTGGACGTTCTTAAAATCTCCCATGCTTGGCTACTATGATTGTTCAGCTCGAGTAGACCTGATAACTACCATTAATGTCTGATACCACATGTCAATGCATGTCAATCCAAACCAATGGCCTGCACATGTGTACTTCACATTGTTATTACTGGTTTCAAAATAAATAACTTCAGCAAAGGTGACCAAAAACCTCATAGCTGTAAAATTAACTTCGTAATTAACAGTCTTGATTTCCAAACAAACCTTTTCTGCATGAACATTTCACAATTTATTGGTGATTGTTATCCCTAGATTAAAAAGGAATTTGGACACCTGATCTTGGTTTAGGTACCCATTTAAGGATGGACAGGCTGGACTAACTTGTACCGAGCATTTTGATGGATGTAGGACCAAACCTCCCTTTTTCTGGTACTGGTCCCGTGCCACCATCTCACCTTTCAGCTTCTCGTTTGTCTGATGAGTTAAAGATGCATGATGCTGGGAGAAGGTTTCGCGTAGCCGGTTCCTGTACCCCTGAATGCCTGACCGGTGGTTCCTTTGAAACCGGCGACCTGACTGCTGGCTTTGGCTATGTGAATGACAAAGACCATATTCGTGTTAAAGTGCTCGTCGCAAAATTGCCGAGTAATTCTGAGAAAAAGTTTGGCAAGGAATCCTGGAGATTGGTATTGATAATGCTGATCAGTGGGTACATTCATTCCTGGATTAATTCCGTATTCATTTATTGCAGATATTCAGTGATGAAACCCTCCAACTCAATGAAACTCTATTTTCTCCCCCAGAAATGTTAAGATGTCTGACCAATAGCCCACGTCTGGTGTTTCTTTTATTTTGTAATTTGTAGTTCCAAGGACAAATGTTTGAAAAATGAAAATTCTTGAGCCACAGCGGAAGCCCGGGTTTAAAGAAAACGGACCGAGATTCGGACTTGATAATATTGAAACACAGCTGTCAATTATCATGGAATGTTTCAACTACAGCCCCCCCCCCACCACCCTGGATGCAGTTCAGGTCCGCACTGTACCTATGAGTGAAACACATTAACATGGATGTACCTTTAATGGTGTTTCTGGTTTGGCAGGCGGGGTGGGCTTGGCACTTATCTTAGGCTTATGGGGAACAGTTGGTTTCAAAGCTGCCCTCATGTCCTAGGATGGGAGAAAAAGTGGACACATCTTTTGAAAAACAAATGAGAGGGCAATGGTCAGCTTCACAAATAAGCATTAGGGGTAATTAAGACTACTAACCCTGACAGATGCAACATGGTGCAACAGGTGTAGAAAGTCTGGTGCACTTTGTTACACTGGGCCCTCGACAGCAGACAAACAAACTGGCCATGTTGAGACAATGGGAGCTAGTCCCATTGAACAATTGCCACTGTTGGATCTTGTGGTGACTGGCAACCACAGACTCCGAGGCCGTGTGGCCTTGGGGAAAGTTGGCCTGTGGGTTCTTGCCACACTGGGCAGAAAAGCCACTTTAACAGATGTGTCTGGTAGGGTTTCTAACCAAAGTACCCTGGAGGGTTAGGGTTAACAGTCAATTACTACGGCGAAAAGCAGATGCACAAGAATCCTTGTTGCATCCTAGTATCAAAACAACGGAAAGGGTATGCTTTATTGGATTCTTCTCTTACAATGTTGGAGTTACACAACCTTATTTTGTTTGACGTATATCAAGAAATGACTTTCAGTGGATCCAGGATAAGTTAGGTTTGAATGACTCACCTTAACATCCACTGTGGTTGGAGGTGCTTCCACAAAGGGCTTCTTCCTGAAACTGTTTCCCTCTGGGCCTTGCCTGTGGGATAAAAGTCACAGGATCTAACAAGCGGTCTGAAATAAGCATAACAACTTCTCGATGAAAAAAAATATTTGACGTCGATCTCTATCAAGTCACAATCATACTGTCGCAATGCCCAAAGCCAACGGCGCGATGCGCTCTTCCAATTTCTTTCTACAGACTGTTTGACTCTGAATTTCTGTCTTCATCAGTTTTAAAACGCCTACGACATACATATCCCAATTCAAGAGAAACCTGATCCTGCACCTTTCACGCTGATTATGAAACGCTTTCATTCTGTCCTCAATGTTCACCTTCTGTTTTTTCTGTATGCCTTGCCACGAGTGGCTTCCGACGGCCTTGGAATAGGGATGAAATAAAAATCCACACCTCAAGCTGGGACAGAGAACAACAAGACAACAAACTGAAGAACGAGTCCCTTCAGGCTTGGTGCACATCCGACGACGTGCCTCACCTCAGTTTGTTGTTGTTTGGCGGAGGGGGCAAGACGCATGGCCGACTTGGCAGCTGTCTTGGGGGGCTCATGTCTCCAAATTGGTTCTGCTGTCCGCATTGGCTACGGAACTCTTCGAGCTTCAGAGCGTCGGCCTCCTGTGGTAGGATGTAATCTTCGCTTTCGGTAGAGGCCGTGGAGAGGGCCGACTCTGTCACAAACACGCACAAAGACCCAGTGAAGATTCAACAAGAACCCAAAATGATTATGAATAGTCGCTAAAGACGCTGAGGAACACATGAATCTTCAACAAAAACCGGGGTATGAATATTCCAATCAATAAATTCAGCTCTACACATCATGCATCAAAAGGAACACTCCAAATGCATGCACGGGGCTAAACCTGTACGTAACATTACTCGTTCGCGAGACAATCATTAAAAACAAGTCAGGTGGTTGCATCACTACCATGCAGTGAACCAGGCAGTGCATGCGCACAGACATGCCACACTGACCACACTCGGGCTGGAATATCCCGAACGACGGCTCGGGAAACTTGGGCCTGCTCCCCGGGGAGGCAGGGGCGCTGCTCCGGTGCCGACTCTTTGGGGTGCTGACGCAACTGACTGTTCTCTCCCTTCGCTGGGGCGGAGGGGTGGGGTCGGACTGTGTCCGAGAGCCTAAACCTGATGGGGAGGGCCAAGGGTCAACATTGAGCAGGATTACCTACAGATCACGTCTCGTACCTGCTGCTGTAAATTGGAGAACCAACCTGAGCCAATCCAATTGGCTCCTTTTAATTAAAAAAAAATGAATAAGCTAAAAATCTAAGTATGACTGAATGTGAATTTCACAAGGAAACAACTGGCTACCTCATAGCATGGACCAAAGGAATAAGAGAATGTGTTTGATTTGATCTTTTAGACAAGAGTGCCATACTAACACAATTTTTCAAACAATGTCAAAGCCTCAGTGCTGTAATTCTTTTCCCTCACCTCTATGGATTGGATCCGGTCTCGGGGGCGGGACTGGTAACGGACCCCTCTTGGTCATAAAACCTCCTCTGTCCACTGGGCACAAAACAATACAATGTTACCGTATCTGACTATTGTTTACTAATGAATGCATAATACCCAGCACTGATTTTTCTGAGAAATTCAAATTTGAATTCAAATTTTTATGACTAGTGCAACCCGAACAACGATATTGAGAAATGGGAAGAGCCACCACCATAGGGCTGGATAGCTCAGTTGGTAGAGCTCCAATGTGGTATTCCGGAGGTCACAGGTTCAAATCCCACTCCAGTCAATTTCTTTGATCATCTTTATAACAAATCTAATTGAATCTAGTCAAATCTAATCTAATCTAATTAGTGTTGCTGGATTCCTCTGCAGAAAATGTGCTGGTGGCATGCCTAGGGTTCATTTGCAAGGGGGGGCACTTTGGGCCTCAGTTTCTGAAGGGGGGGGAACTCAACGGGTTCGGCAGACAATCACCAGATTTTTTCCTTTTTCTAATTTCTGGAGGGGGAGCGGTGCAGAGTGTATATGGGAGGGGGATCCAAGCCCCCAATTAGTTCTGCCTTTGTGGCTGGTGACTGCTCTTACGTGATTCATTGCGAGGCGGTGGTGGCAACTGTCTAAGAACGGAAGGGCCTGGCTTGGGCGGCAGGTAATCCGCCTCCTCTAAGGGTTCTTCGATGTCCTCGTAGATCCCCGGCTCAAAGTTGGTGGCGGATGCGCTGGCCTGGTCGTTGCCGCCCTGCAGGAACTTTGTCTCACGGTACTTCAGGTCTTTCAGAATCTTCAGGGACCTGAAGACGAAAAGGTTGTGGAAGAACTTGTTCACTGAGGAAACTCATCAGGCACTAAATCTATTCAAAGGGAGTCAAGAAGCAACTTCAAACTATTTCCAAGGACATTAAAAATCACAACCTCCAAGATATAAAAAAAATGCAATCAGACAATAACAAGGCACAAAGCTACCAAAAGGTTTGACAATTCTCTCTTCTGAATTACCTATATTCAACTTTGCATCGAGACACTGCCAAAATAACCCGTTTCCTTTTCTGCACAGCAGATACGACCCAACTCCTAAAAATATTCATCTCAAAGAAAAAATTGACACACAAACCTAGTTCTCCTTTAATGTGCAATGAGTCACTACTGCACGTGATTTTCAATACTTCATCAGCTGATATTCTGGCACCATGCCAAGGGCACCCACTCTCTGTTTAAGGTCTCAGCAAATTATGAAAGAAGCCTCACAGAAATAACACTGAAAAAAGTCAACAATGCAACCATTTCCTCCATTTAACCACAAACCCCCCCCCAAAAAAGCATTCAGGATTGAGATTGGAAGAAAATGAAATATTCACAGCATAATTAAGAAACTAGATCATAGCCCCACAGCAGTGTAGGCATACCTTAAAATGCCCACCCTGTGTGTTCTATATCAAGTTATGAATAACACCACAAAGGTGAATTTCCAGATTTCACATTAGATTGTTTGAAACATCCTGAAATCAGGAAAAGTCCAGAGAAATCTCACCCCTGAGCATTGCATTAGGTTGCTTTTGTTTCTTAACCCTAATTTGTTGTATCCAATGTTATCCCCAAACCCGACAGTTTCTGCCGGGTTTGGTTGCTCTGACAAAGTTTCTACAAGAAGAAGTTTCCATTAGAGACTGTCCGAAGGGGAAATAGAATGATAGCACTTCCTGAAGATTGTGGTGGAAGTAAGTATAATCGGACAAATGTTTCACTTTCCAATTCATGAGAACAAAAACCTTGCGGATGGTTCAGATTTCCAAGAGAAACCTGTGATGGAATCTGACCCAAGAAAAACCCACAGGCTGGAATTTACTTTCCATAACATAATACTAACTTGAGACAACAGTTTTGAATTTTCGCGACCAAATCGGTGACTTACTTGTCCCTTGCTTTGCCGTGTATAGCTTTCTCCATGGTAACTTTGAAATAGGCCATCCATAGCTAGATTCAAAGTGAAAAAGAACTAAAGTCAATTATTCAATAGATGACAACCCTGATGTTACTGCAGATCCAAAACGTCCTCAGCGCATGCACATTGAGATACACTGTACAGAAGAACAGTTTCTAAAAATGAAACACATCGTTACGTAAACTGCTCTCTTCATAGCTACATTCTACTTCATTCTGAGTACGCATACAAAAAATATTTGATTAACTCAGCCCCTGTTACTCCCTTTCAGAAAGCCACAGGCAAACAAACAAGAAGACGAATAAATTATAGGTGTAATGTACACAAATGCTCCTTCATCTAACACAATTGGATAGCTGGAAATTGGTGTCAGAAACTAGGAATCTACGCAATAATTAGTATTTTTGTGACAGTCAATACCTATTGACAGACCCTGAGACCGAAAAGGCTTAGAAAAAACCCTGGGCATACATGTACTCTGTGTCAAAATCAGCTATTCCCCATGGGAGAAAAAAATCCTGTCTTTCATTGAACTCTGCCACTGAAAAAAAAAAAAGACCAGTCAGGCTGTACAGTACATGTACATGCGTGTTTATAAAATATTTATAAAAAGGCTTCGTGCATGGCACCATTCAGCATGACGGGGCAATAAATTCTTTTTTTGGGGGGGGTCATAAGGAAAATTCTTTCATTGCATTTCTTTTGCTATGTGTACATGTTTACTGTGGGACTTTATAGCCATGTAAATGTACCCCGGTATCTTGCACAATTGACGCCTGCACAAACAGGGCAAATGGCATGGGACCATGGTAGAAATCAAACAATAACTTCCTGAAGTCTGCCAGTGTACACAGAGCCGTGTATGTGAATAATATCCAAACTGCACTGCATTGTGACTGCTTCCTGACCCTCAAAGCACAATTCAGGAAAAAAAAAAACCAACAACCCTGTGCTGTTACTGCGGGTGTAAACTTCGTGTCCATGTATGTGCTCTGTACACACATATGTGCAGTCTACACATTATTGAAAGGTCTTGTTCAATTTTTCTATCCATATCAGCAACCTTGACGCTGCTTGTCATCTGATATTCTGTCCCTTCCTGCTGAAAAATTGCAGAAGTTGAACACATGTTGTATACTATCACATTCATAAATGTATTATGTTCATACAAGTTGATTAGAGCAAGTTGAATATTGGAGAGCACTTGCATTTCCTAATTACTACAAGTTCAGGCCATTACGCAAATCCTGTCTGGGTGTTTCAACAGTTCACAGAGAAGTGATTTATTCTCAAAGCATGTCTGTACCACAGCACACCGCGCACACAAAGTGCAGTTTGCTCAAATGCGTGCAGTATTTGATCTCCCCGCGTTCGTCTGGAGACAAATGTGCCGCCCGGTGAGTGGCTGCGAGCCAGCTCCTTTACGATGGAAAGTCCCCGTCCGTTATACAGGGAGTTGTGCAATGAGGAAACATACTTACAGACTACCCAGGAGATCTGTGAATTCCGGCATATGGTGCTATAGTGTTTCTGTACACTTTCTGTTACTGTTTCCCCTGGCCCACTTCAAATGAAGTATCGTCAATTGTTCAGTTCCCGGTATATATGTGTAACCTTCTATCTTGTTTCAAACACCCTTCCCAGCCCAATTCCCCCCCCCAAACTATATTTTTAACCACCCTTTTAGTTCAATTGTCTTAATTACACACTGTATTTGGGCCAAATAAATATTGATAATTACAATACAGGGTGGACTCTGACCCAAAAGGAGGCAAATGAAGACATATTCATGTTGATTGCTACACACGCTGATGAAGCCACAGTAAATGACCAATTTGTAAGCACCAAAGCTTTTTCCAGGAATTGATTACAGTCTCCAGAGTGGTACCCACATCCTAAATACGTGCATCTCTGTAAGCACACTGATCTCCATGCTTTGAAATCGAAGCATCCTTATATACATGTATCATAATGTTAATGTTAAACACTGAGCAAGGCACACATATATACCTTGTTAATCGTTCAAAGTCCTAAATTCTAAAACATGTGCTGGTGTCAGTGCCAGTCCATTTAATGACTAACTTATGATACTTCTGTCATAAATGAGTGTCAATAGAGGGTATCAACAGGAGCTGATATGCATTAAATGATTCCAAGGATGTGGTCTATCACTGATAACATACTGATATGTATATAACATACTGATAGACTATTAGTATGCTATACAAGTTATTTACAAAACCTAAAATACTTCGGCCTATCCCCAGAATCATTCCTGGAATTGTTGACGCAAGCATCGTAGGTGACTGCTTCAATGGGTTTTTGTCCCGTGTTCCCGTACACTGCTCGATTTTTATTGGATTGATGAAAGTAGAGAGCTCTGCACACTGGGATGGCTTCAATAGATAGACTGTGCAATTGGTTACATGCTGTTGGGTTTTGGGGAGGACTCTGAGGTTTTTTTAGCAAGAATGACCATGGTTTTCAGACTAAAGCACAATGATCTAGAATCCTACAAGAAACAAGTGTCTATTATGACCAGCTACAAGTATAACATGTAAACCACAATTTTAGCGTGAATCATTCAGAAATGTACAAGCTTTACCCTCATCTCTCGTTCAGAGGCAGCCCCGAAGTACCACGTTCTGTCGTCCGACCTTAGCCCGATTATTTTGAACGCCCACTGCTGATTGGCCGAGGTCATGTCCTCAGCCCTGAGAACTCTGCAAGGCAACAATAAGCGACCATCAGTCTCTGCGTTTCAGATTGAGAGAATGATATTTTACAGAGGTTTCTGGCTGTGATTCAGTTAACCTCTGTCAATGACGACATTTACCTTACATAAAGATGAATTTTACATCTGATGCTGCCAACTGGATTGTATGTACATATATTATGCTATAAGCAACACATTTCTCATTTTTTGATTTAAGAATGAGTAATGATTTGGATTTTGTTTCCAAGGGAAGAAAAGAATAATTATGTTTCTTTGGGTTTTTGTCAGATTTTTTTCAGCGAATGGTGCAAAACGAAAACTGCATTCATACTTGGAACATCTTCTGCCAAGGCAATTTTCGATGAAATTCTACCTCTCAGAAAGGCCACTTCCTTTTAGGGCAAGTTTGGTGGTGAGATTTTTTGGGCGAGGCAGGTTGGCAATGCGCACAAACCGCCGCGAATTCATTAACGACAGGATGACCTCATTTTTTACTTGGAGATTGAGGATGAACCCGGGTTTACTAATCAAATTAAGACAAGCAGAACCCAATTATATAGCCATTCTCTTCGGTTTCAATGAGGTTCGCCTCCCCAGGGGACGAATGAACACGGCTCCTCCCTTTTCTCGGACTGTTGATTGAGGCTCCTCCTTGGAACTCATTAATTAGGACTGTAAGCAATTGGGTCTCTGTGGCAAAGCTGTCCGATGTGCATGTCAACAACAGAACAGTCCTATATAACCTGACATTACAATTTACAATGAAACAATTCTCTCACCCTACAGCAGAAAGTGGTCCATCTTTTTGACACTATTTAGTCCTATCATTTCATGACAGTGAGAGGTCTTGTTGTCACTTCCTCAAAGTAAGCATAAACAAGGCTTCTGATGATTAGACAGCCAAATTTTCATGACAACCACCTGCTGAGCTATGGCAATGTTGAGCCGTGAAGTCCCATTCCCCCAACTTCCCAATGACGATCAGTAATTTTACAAATCATGTCTTTGGGTGTGGTCGTCATTTTGTAACCTCTAGGATTTTGTTTCAACAAAAAAAGGACACAAGTACATGTACATTTACTATGTATGAGCAATTTGTCTACATGTTTATTCCTCACAAAAAGATGTACACGTATGTCATTTGCAATGCAAGCCATTTTAACCTAAAAACAGCAAACTTGTGCAAGAATTGGGGCTTTCCGGCTACACTGTTGAAACCCTCAAGATCTACAGTCATCACCGAGAGCAGACACTTCCAACAACTTTTCCAGGACTATCCCCCCCCCTCCAAGAAACCACCCTCCTCCCATAACAATGAAGAAATGTCCTTGTTGGACATGTTGCGCACCTGTTGCTGTCAAGCCCATTTCATCGGCCCGGCCAGCGTGGGAAAAGGAGGGAGGGTTAAGTGAGCGAGTCAGCCAGCCAGGCTGTTTATTAATCCCGTAACTCAATTTTCTGACAGGAAGTTTTTGATCGCTGTGTCCCCCCGATATCAGCGTGTGATCGGCGAGGGAAACTCTGCCCTAAAAACACATCCACCACGGCCAAGTCGACTGCCTCAAAACACAAACATATCACTCAAGCCAGCAATGCATTCCTTTTAAAATGGCGCAATTGGCTGATTGTAATATACTCTTGGCTGGTATAATTTGTATTTATTTCTATCTGTATCCATATCTACCGGTATTTTCTACATTTCTATTTTCTAAATGCTGCGTGCTACTTTAAACTTGACTCTTCAGCTAGATTAAGTTACACATCTAACAAGTAATATTGTTCTTATTTTTTACTTCATTTCATAACAGTTTGATATTTCATTTGATAACAGTTTGGGAAATTCTTGTACTTTGCTTTAATGCATGTGTGATCCCTTTGCTCCGGAATATACTATCTACTTAAGCCTCAAAATCAAAGCACTTCATTAAAAACCCGAAAATGGAGGCAAGCAAATGCCAAAATATTCAGAACCTCTTGTTTCACGGCTTCTGCACTTTTGGCAAGGCTTGCCAGCAAGTTGTTGTGTTGACGTAGGTACGATGATTCATACGGACTAGGGGACAGCAAGAACCACACCATATAGGACTTCATCAATTAAGAGGTAACCCCCCTAGATTGGCCGGGCTGTGCTTCAACTGACGTGACTCACGGCCGACTTGGCGTGCAGTTGACAAACAAGTTAAAGGAAAACTCCGTCTGGAAATTCTTCAGTGTGCTCCATTCTGCTTTCACTCATCAAATCATTCAAGATGCAGTGTGCCGACAAATTTAATTTTTTTTTTACTGTTTAAAACTTCTGTACATTCTGTACACTTCTTAATACACTTCTCTCTATGAAACTTGAAGTATGATGTACAAATAAGAAGTAACCAAAGCTTCTTGGTCTGGTTCCAAGAGGTGCATCTGCTGCAGAAACTGGGTGCAAACCTCCTAGAGTCGTTTGAAAAGTCTACTTCAAGAAGACAGCCTCAGCCATGACCTCAGTCTTGGCTGAGGCTTCCAGTAGCAATCGCATGTATGGGAAGAGGTTTGTAGTCACTATCCAATGGCTTCCATAAACCATACACTCATCATGCAGTCAAGTGAAACCTACATGCGTTCATCCACACTTTACAGCGCTCACCTGTTGTATCCCCTGAGCGAGAACACCCCTTTGGGACGGGTACACCTCTCGTTCTTGTAGTAAAGCACGTACTCGTGGTACAGGATGACATAGCGGAGTTGCCACTTGGACAGGAGTGACGGGCTGATGAATTCCGTGATTTGGTCGGTCATCTTCTCTTGGGCCCGTTTGTAGAGGAAGCCGTTGTGTTCATAGTCTCTGCTGAGAATGTCTTGCACACCTTCACAGTAGAAGAAATGAATTGGGGAAAAGATTGGTACAGATGTGTCCTCTGTATCCTACCACTGGTTTTCTGGTGACTTTGGACTCATATCCATAGACTGCAACCTGTACATGTAAGCTACATGTAAATCAGTTAGAGTTGTAAACCAATGAGCAGGTGTTACTTTTCTGATTTACTGAGGACTCCTTGCTTCAACTGCAGAGGAGCATGGTACTGTCTAATTGTGCATACGACAGAGAGGACACATGGTTACTTTTCATCCGAATGTACACCAATTTGGGATTCTAAGTCCTAGGATAACAGTAAGGTCATGCCTGAACCAACTGTCTGAATTTCTAGGGTAAAGCTGGGTTTTACGGGTACCCAGGTACCCATGTTCAATTCTGTCTGGTACCCGGCAATGTTTCATCTAGCCATCTACGTACCTGTCCTGAGGACAGGGAATAAAAAACCCGTCACTGACTTACTCATATTTTCCAGCTGCTGTTGCGGCAGGCACTGCAGGTAGTTATTGTCCTCGTCCATCTTGGGGAGGCTAGAGGAGGAGGGAGGCACCGACCTCAGAGAGTCTCCAGGCTGCCAGTGAGGATCCATGCGTGTAGGTGGTGATGAGGTGGGCGGGGTACAAGATGACGCAGGGTGGGTGGGGTCATTGGGTGTGGTCGCACGGACATGGAGTCTACTCCATTATCCTTGTAGAAAATAATAATTATATAAATGTAGAATTTTCTTTAATCCATCAGTGGAAAAATAATACTTACATTACATGCCTAGTTGAGCAGTACATACATGTATAAACCGACGGTGTCATTTCAAATCCCACAACTGTATACATGTAGCTTGAATATCTCGATACAAGGTCTCCTTAAAGGGAATTGATGCCTCCATAACGTGTGATTTCAATTCAAATTTATCGCAAATATTGCCCTTTGCCGTGCGTCACCTACTGCACACGGTTCTGGCAGAAGCACGGTGCATCCTATCAGACCCGCGTCAGGGAAATGACTTCCTGCTCTGCAGTTGCGACTCAACCTACGGGCAGCGCTTGTACCGAGAAACCTCAAAGTGAGCCAACAGCTTTTCCTCCGATCACAGAGGTTTTCCTCTAAATCTGGCTGACATTCCCAGCAATTCACAGAGATTTACATGTACATCATTCACCCCAGAGGATTCAAAGTATCAGGAACACACAGACATGTATCAAGTACATCTGAAGTCTAAAAGGTACATTCATACAGGTAATACCACTGCATTTACAATGTACACTGTACATTGTGGAGGAATGTACCTTGACTTTATAATAATTCACAATACATGTATGTACTCATATACACACAACTTTAAAAAAACCTGGAGAATTGGCAAAGCATTTTGTAACTTTCCATTCCAGCTACACCCTGTATGTACCACACTGGAAATATTCTGTGATTTACGTGTTACATACATTTGTACATCTATAAGGCTTTCACCAACCGGTGTCTCTGCATGGCATATCCCTACGCGTAGTCTACATACTGTACATGTACCGTACGGCACTTACCATTGTAAAGTTACAAATATGACTCAGCAAGGCACACTCAAACTGTACTTTACTCCATTTACTAGTACAATGTGCATAGTTCCATTTGTACTTAGTACTTTACACGGTCCACTGAACTGACTCATTGGCTTGCACTTGGCTCTGCCTTTGTATGTACATTCAATGGGAAATCCTCTGCTACCATTGGCAACACAATTTGCATTTTCAAGCAGGGCGCACCCCTCAGTGCTATGCCATTCCCAAGGAGGCTACTGCCATCATTGCACACTAGGGGATTCCCCAGAATCTGTTTCAAGCCGCCTGATGGGTAACTCCACATATTTCAAGTAATACATGTTGGTAAAGAAAAAAAAATTCCAGAAAGACTCCTCAAACACAGTTACACGTGATGTGAATGCGTGTACTATACAATGTTCCTGTGGCTTTCGTTTTAAAGCCTGGCTTGTACTCAGCCAAAAATACAGTACACATGATTTACTTGACAATTTTGCAATACACATGTATAGCACATACCAGTATACCGGTACCCGGCAAGATATGGGATAGAGGGATACCCCCCCACCGATACATGTCCGATCCCTAAACACACTCTAAACTATTGTTACCTAACACATTCCCCTAGATGCCTGAAAAGAATTCCTGAGATTCCAGCAAAACAATGACCAACATAAAAGGGGGGTCTCCGTTTTATATCTTACTTCAAATTTACCCGGTTTACTGTAGGAATAAATAGCTCAAAAGCACAATTGTTTTCTTGAGGCATGACTGGGTGTCTGTGATTTCTTTTTACTTGACAAAACAAATAGAATGAACATGTATTTACAATTTAGGCCAGCATTGGGGAAAAAAATCACAAAAGGTGTTGCATGTAAATTCTACTCTGTAGAAAACCATTTCCTAGAAAATTGCTTGACCGCATAAATTAAATGTACATGTACACTCCTCAAGAACAGCAGACAAGAATACCTGAGAAAGCAAGCATGCACGGATAAAAAAAAAGTAGTATCAAAATATGTTTGAAACCATGTGAAACTCCTCATCAAGATCACATGCTTTCGTTGACTTCCTGGCCACTCTCGAGTTCAACAAACCCATGACAGACGTGAGCCTGAATCACACACACACTGCCAAGCACGCCAGCTGGCATACCCATGCGTCCATGTATGCTAAGTTGTCAAAACTACAAGCGGGAAGTCAGTCCGCATAATTCTCAAGTTCAACTTCAAGGTTTAACTTCCCCCCATGTGGATCTGACTGGGGCTCTGGACACGAACGGGAAGTTACATGTACTGTCATGACTGTATGTTTGCCGCAGTGACTAGTGTTTCGTTTTTTTCCCATACACAAGTCCTACCTCCGCACCTATAGCAAGTTTGCATGAACACTGCACAGAGTGCATGTATGCCGTCTGTGGAAAGCATGTCACTTGTAGTTGCACACGTGATTTCTGACATGTAGTGATGTACATGTACCATAACAATAAAACTGAAACAAATTTGTCAGGCAAACACAAAGGTGGACGATTATCACTTGATATAAATAAACAAAACATTATCCTGAATGAGGCAAAGCAGTAAATGGACACTTTTATGTCCATCGATATTGATCGTTCATGACGTCCACGTTCATGTACAACTTCCACACCCACAGTGCAACCAATCAATGCACACAGTCTCACATTCCCACAGTCCTAGGACAGGAAGGCCAGTCAAAAGATTACATAACAGCTCCGTCAATCCTTTTTCAGAAATGTGATCTGAACAAAAGAAATTCATAACCTTGGCCTCACAAGTGGCCAACAGGTAGAGGATAAGAATTCTGAGAAGAGGCTTTGTAAAAAGAATTTCCATAAAGTGAAAGAAATGAGGCTAGTGTACTGAGAAGAACACTTCAGTGAGTCATGGTAGGGTAAATAGTTAAACAAATACGCACGGACATACATGTACATACGGATATGTACACCTTTGAGCTACATGAATCAAGTGAAGAATTCAACACAATCAATTAAATTTGTGAGGCCAAGCACACTGCCTGTTGAAGGATATTGTTGCCTCACAATGAAGTTTGTAATCACAGGCCAATACGGCAGATCTATGCTTTCTTAGAAACCCTGCAGACTCAACTAATGCAGTCCCCAGAGTTTACGTTAAAATGAAATAAGAAAGGTGTATATTTGTGAACTGTGGGTAGGAGTTAGTGCATTCTTGATAAGGGCTTCCATACATGTACATGTACATGTATATTTCATTATACACTGCCAATGTTCCGGGCAACTTCCTGTCTACAGGGGTCAATACACGGTTACAACACCAGTGACTGCTACCGGTAACTCTCCCAGAGAAAGTCCTGTCTACACAGTGGATGGACCATGGTGGACCCCTAGCCAGTACAGAAATGCGTCACTCAGTTGTGAAATCACTGACAGTAATGTGATTGCCTGGACAGTGAAAACACTGCACTGGTGGATTTGTGAATGGCAGGTGCTGGAACAAATGACTCAATTTTGCCACCTTCTTTGATTATGCATCATCAAGCCCTGTGGGTAACCCCCCCCCATAAATTGCAAACTTTATTCCATGCCTTCCTTGACAAATGTGCCGGGCACCACCTTCTTCCAACATGACAGAGCGCATTATGTAGACAGCACTTCTAAATTGCATCGGTGATCACAAATCTTCAAAACAAGGCTGGTTTACTTCATCAACCGAGCTGTTTGCCTTCAAAACACTTCCATTAACCCACAATATTTTCAGCAGCAACAAAAAACTACTAGTACTTACATTTTGTAACGAGCAGGAGCTTTTCAGACTTGAGTGATTTGGATAGCTCTACTGCATCAAGATGTACATCACAGTCCAACTAGTCTACATGTTTTTATACGTGTACATGCACCGGTACTGTAGGTTACTTAGCTCGAACAAACAGGATGTTCATAATGCCAGCACACTCCACGTCAGTTCGCGGAACAGACGCTGCCGTTAATTCTTGAGGGGTTTTTTTGCCCAGTTTTTCTTCCCTTTTAGCATTCGTACATGCACATTTTCCCTTGCCAGACAGATCATCTGGGTTCTTGCCAACAATTTTCTGCACCCATGAAATAGTCTGATGTTAAAGAAGTACGCAATGTCTATTCCAACAAGGAACGAATTAATGTGTCCAACAAATGCACGCACTACAAGGACATGGCGCCTGACAAATTTGTTCATTTTGAGTGCTCAAGTAAACACCAAAAGAAGGAAATTGGTAAGCTGGTTATTTATTAAAGTGATTGGCTTCACCGTGGTCACAATCCGGAATGTCCAATGGCCATTGTGTCTGGTGGTCTTTTGTCATGTTTGTGTTCCTATTCCTCCGCTGAAGGTGGTTTTTATATCAAGAGGCATCCGTGAGAAAATGAGACAAATCACAATAGGGTGACTCAAACAAATCACCTTGTGACAATTGACCCGATGCTTAATGTTGTCACTGACCTGAAAGTTTGAAATGTGTCTAATACCAAATATCCATTACTTGGAAAGCTTAGCCAGAACAATACGAGACGTTTCAATTTTGGGTGAGCTAATACATCCAGTGGTTTCGACAGGAAGGAAGGTACGTAGGCCTACATGTACCATTGTCACAAGTTGTGGGCCATTCTGTGTAAGTGGGGGAGGAAAGAGCTTGTTTCCTAACTTTGTTTTGTGAGCGGGATTTTCCCTTTGGCCCCACTGCACAGAATTGCTGACAAATACTGGCAAAAAAAGTTCAGCAACTCAGCCAAGAAGCCAGTGACCTCCAATTTGCATCACGTGGCATTACAATATTGATAATCCTTCATTGCTAAGCATGTCTTGTATTGTTTCAAAAATTGTACGGTAAATGCACATGTACATGTATGTAAGTTTATGTGTTGGCAAACTAGTTCGTAACTGCTTTCCATGACTGAACATGGCATTTCAAAACAGAGTAACGACATGTATTGTTGGAAGGAATGTTTCCTCCCTTTTTTAATGCAGATTCAGTGTGCTATTAACTGGTTATAAAATTTGCCAGCAGGAAGAGATTGTTGGTATATTGTTTCGAATGAATTCAACAACACTTTAAAGGGTGTCACACATCCATATGCAAATAAATCGACTGAAACTTTTGCACAACATTCAAACTAAAACAAACACTTTTTTCTTTCTTTTCAAGTACACATTTTTCCCACAATTTCTCCAAAAGGTACACGTCCACGTATGTATGGAAACAGGAGGCATACAAAGAACATTTTACTTTTGCTTCAGCATTAAAGCTGTTCTTTAGGATTAGCCTTGGGTCGAGCAGCTCCCACAATGTTGACTTTTTTCACAAGCAGGTCACAGTGGTCTTTGAAGCTCTCAGGCTCGTCAGGAAATAATTGATTAGACTCTGTCAAGACAGCAGGGGAAAGGGGAAAACGATGACCTCAAGATTGCACGTGGGACGCTTTAACTCGAGTGACAGAAATCCACCGCAGCAAGACCTGAACTGTTTGCTGTGAATACTGCAGAATATGCAAGGCCTGGGGACAGACATATCGGAAGCAGGATTCTGAACCATGCGAACATTGAAACATGTACTGTACAAATGAGAATGCATTTACGTATGCATACCAAACGAGCACAGCTGAAAAGGTTCAGTCATGCCGAAAACTGGTTCTTTCAAGAGTGGTTACATGAATGTGTCTCCATTACAAGGCAACTTTCTGTCTACACAATGATGTGAATTTCGACAGTCCTAACTTTTACACTTTAATGCAACCGCTACTGAGGTACACGTACAATCGTGCATTACAAAAAAAGACAACTCCAAACGCTATGTACAGTATGTGTAAGTAAAGATTTACTATGTTCAATTAAAGAGCTGCCAAGAAATTAAAAAAAGAAACAAAAAAGCAACGCCAGTCTAAGAAAACACTGATAACTGCTGGGCCAACAAACACTGATAACTGCTGGGCTAGCAAAGGTAATTTAGGACCAATATGAAGTTATTGTTACGCCCCAACTATAGCATCTGTCCCAACTATCACAATCCATACATGTACACAATTCCAAGGGGGTCCCCGGTTTACAAGCCCTGCTTTTTGGAGACCTCTTCCACTTATTATCGATTACTTGTCTTCATTTAAAAGTGTTCATGGATTCACTCTTTTGACATATAAGTGGGAATAAAATGAACTGAACTATAGTTGGGACAGTCCCAACTGTGGTGCTGCATTTGGGCTGGCCCAACTATTGTTGACCAATTTCTGTAAAAAATGTCCCAACTTTATCCAAGTTTATGCATCTCACACTTAACGCAATTCATCTCATATATGACACTTCATCTATGATATGACATTGTAAACAATATGACTTTGGCACATGCTGGACACATGCACACTGGGCCTCTGTGCACTACACTTCGGCCGGGACTGATGTTGTAGTTGGGGTGTAACATTAACATTCGTGCCAAAACAAATTAGTTGGTTTGTCTCAAGAGAGGATTGCCCAAGTACTTACACACTGTGTAACACAGTATTGACAAAGACATCAAAAGATAGTACAAGTACATATGTATCATGATCAGTCCAAAAACAACTGTTTGTGCTCACATGAAAAGACTCTTTAAAAAATCAAAGTTAAAAACTGATAGGCCTTACTAGGCATTTGAAAAAAAAACAAGAAGTACTGCAACTCAAGAAAAATGTTTAACAGGGGAGCGAATGTTTGAATATAAACTTGGCCAATACCATTTCAAATGGCATTTATAAAGTCACTTTTTAACAGGATGGCATTCATTTTTTCCAGGAAAACAAATTGGATGTATGTAGGCCTAGGCCTACATGTAAATATAAAAAACACCAAGTAGGCCTTATGGCAACAATTTTGCAATTAAATTCAAATATGAGCAATAGGAAGTTATTACAAAATTGATATACATGTCATGCATGTGCATGATCCATCATTGAATCCTATAATTTCCAGCAACCACGCATAGGCCTATTCCGATTCGGTCATTTTGTCGGTAGGCCTATGCTACTCCCGAAGTCAAACTTTCATCAAAATTTCAACAACAAATCTCTGGACTCAAAATGCCATTAAACTAGCAATCGCATAACCAAGATCTATACACTTACCTTGGTCTCGGCAAAATAGACGAATCCGATGCAGGTTTCTCAGTAAAATGGAACCAAATGAAATATTCCTGGGACGAAAATGCTTTTGGTGACTGACACTCTCGCATCAACACTGCACGACTGCAGATACAGATCAACAGGTTTCACTTTGCATGACACCCGCACGCGCCGCATGAGCGAAAATGATGCTTGGCAGTGGAACTAGACTAGACTGTAGCAAAACAAAGTTCAACTTTTTCACAGTGAGTAGCGTGTATTTCATGTCAAAACAGAACGGCGCGTCGGGAGTCAGGACCTTGCATAATTCGCCTGTTAAAAATCCTTCATAGTACTGAAACTGAAGAAATGGGGATAATCTTTTTCACTTTTGCGATTTATATTTGATTAGGTTTTGTGATAATTTTTGATTAAAGAAACAAACTCACTGAATGTGTTTGGGGCTGCTATCAATCATGGAGGAATAAAACACACATTTCCTCATCAATATAAAAACTTTGACTTGTTGATGAGCCACATTTGATTTAACTTTTGAAACGTTAAATTGTGGTTAAAATCTAATTTTGTCTCAAACTATCACAGTGATAAACTATCATAGTGACTTAAAACAAGGGAGTTTTCCTCATGAAAGGAGTAGGAACGTTCGAACAGCAAGGTTTAGGTTTGAACCAAGTGCTCAGTATTTAAGGGGGAAACAATGATCGTGTAACTGACTCTTTTAAAGTGTAAAATGGGTTAAATAAATTTCCACTCACACTATAGTATCACAGTTCTCCTTACAAAATACAGTTTAAGGCAATGGAATGTAACATTTAGTATAAAAACAAAAATAGGGCATTTACATGTACTTTAAACATGCAGTGAAGATCAATGAGAATATCCTGACAGAAAAAAATCCACAAAGACCAAATGTTCACGGTTCTGGGCTTTGAGCTTTCGGGTGAATGCGAACTACACATTGCCAAATGATTTTTTAGGGTTGGCGACGTCGCGGGAGTTTCAAGATGGCGTCAAAGAGGGCACTCTACAAACCGGCGACTTTGCAAGAAGTTGGTAGTCATGAACAGAGGTTTGTTGGCAAAATTTCGGCCATATTTGTAAGAAATACAAAATGAAATATAAGGTTAGGCTTTTCAGACTTGGAGGACCAACGTGGCTTCGTGTTAATATTGTAATTTCTCTTACAGTAGAGTAGGCCTAAAACCGAAGCCACAAAGTTGCCAACAACATGGCCGTAGGCCTAGCCCAGAGTAGTGACTTACTGTCAAGGAAGTAATGGCCAGCCATCGGACTATGATGCATGGCTAAGGAAATGTCATGATTTATGTGTATAACGTGACACATGATCACTGCACGTACTGTCATTGATTGGTAAACTTACCACCCATTGACAAGAAAGAAGTGGGGGCAGGCACTATGGAGTCATGGTCCAGCGAAATGGCACCTAACATGTCCAAATGTTATATCTGAAAGCGTGTAGGCTAAAAGTGTTCGTTTTCATCATCTTGTAGAGCTTAAAATACACTTTCATTTGATGTATGACTCAAGGCATTTGAATAAAGCACCATCAAGCCTTGTTATGGTTTGTGAAGACTACAAAAAGGTAACAAAAAAGTGTGCATTTTTCTGTTGAAAATCCCCCAAAGCATGTATAAGGAGTTGATGAAACATATATGAAATGGTGTTTACTTGGAAGCTTGGAATTTCATTAAGAAAAGGAAGTAAATGTAAAAAATCAATGTCAAACTGGTGCCGAACAGCCCTTTTGTATGGGAATGCTGTCGTGCAACTGTGCACATATGGTGTATGTATGTGCATCAGATTGATGCATGGTGCACGGGTAGCAAGATGCAAATAACAAGCGCATAAACCACACATGTTGTTTCAGTCAAATGTTATCAAAAGATCCAGTCAAACACGAACAGACTTAAAGGAACTTATGACACCTGATAGACTTGGTCCCCTATTTTATAGCTATTTATTGATGACAAACTATCATATCAAAACTATGCCTCAGTGATCTTTCACGCATCACTAAATATTTCAAGCCCAACTCAACTGTCCTGTTACTGTATACATGTACGCGTATACTATGTTTATTATTGATAAAGTTCTCCATTATGAAAGATATTGTTTACTTTACACTTCCTCTGTGACTTAACTACAGATCTTTGTCCAACTCTGGCATGTCTGGAAGTGGAACCAATAAGGAACAAGACTCCATGTGGTTCAAATATATTGATGGAAAAAAAATTGTGTCAACCCCCAAAAAGTGACGGACTAATTACGCCTAATTTTAATAATAACAAAAAAATTCATAACTTCACTATACTAGCAGCTGTTGAGCTAAACCTGAAAAACCTGGAAAGTGCCGGACTCCCTCACTATTTTGCTGCGAACTGATCGTGCCTTTTTTCCACTTTAGACCACTGTTCCCAAACTGTGTACGTCCTTTCCTCCAAGTCAGTCAACTTTGATAAGAAGATGATAATAAATCAAAATTCCCGTCAGCATGTTCAAAATGGCAATGTAGTAGGCACAAATAGAATCAATTAACTAAAAACTTCATTGCAATTTTTGCAAACATAATTTAGAATGTAAGTTAATTTCATCCAAGAGACATCATCTTGCATTGTATGGAAATGTCCAATTTATGGTGTTTTTTAAATTAAATTTTCAACAGGCGGGGGTTAGCCCAAGGTCGCCTCGTTAGTAAACCAGTTTTGCCAAACTCAATGACTGTGTTTGCTTCACCAAGAGATTTAAATCCGAATACTTCAAACACGGATACAGGTAATAGATCTACAGGTCTGTTTTATATTTATAGTTGGAAAACCACTCGAATTAACTGCCAAATGAACTGTTGATCATTCATCAATTATCAATTACACCCATCTAGAACATTTTGTTAGGTCAGAGACAACTACCATTGCTACCAAAGGTGTTGAAGATAAGGAATTTATCTTTAAATTCAAATAAAAGTAATTAATGTGAATAATTCATAATTCAAATTATTCAAAAGCAAAGCCTATTTTGTTTCCAAAAGAGAGACTCAGCTACTTTTGTATGTATGTCTAGCAATACCTATGGAAGTGATTTCAAATTATTCCGCAATAAATGAAAGCTATTGTTTTTCAAATGTGAGGAATATTGTACTTTCAGCTGATGTATCAGTGACATTACCGCACTGCGGCTACCCAGTAGAGGGCACTGTCACCCCTCCAAGGCAGTTGCTGGCAAGTGTTGAGACCAGACATGGGCCCCAGACGGCTGCCAGCATCTCACCTCGTCAATCCAAAGTGTAAGCTGTCGTCCCATTTGTTGAATCCATCCAACCGATAGAGATTATTTTGGAAAGAAATTCTTCTTTTGTTTAGTTGTACAAAATTAGGCAGTCCAAATGTGGTAATTGTAACTATTATTATTAAGTCTTTCTGGTTATGACGCCAAGGATTCCTCAAAAGTGCCCTGGGCACTGTAGCTCGCAAGCCTGAAGAAATCTGTAGAGATGAGAAGAAGTTACAGTTTTAGAGGTGGCATGAAAACCCCAGAGGTAAAACCAATGAAATCAGGTAGGGACTGAAAACCCAATCCACACGTGGACCTGGCCGGGATTCGAACTCGGGCCGCAGAGGTGACAGGCGAGGAAAGAACCACTATGCCAACCTGACTCCCCTCTAACGAGGTGCTAATTTGTTGTATGTGCAGTTCGCTGTTTAATGGTCAGTCTGGGCATGCCGAAGCAGCTGGGGCCAGTTCGCCCTCAAAGCCCACGCCCTCTGCATCACTAGAGCTGTCAGATGCCGAAATTGACCCGAGCCGAAGTGCATCCAAGGTCAGCAGACATTCAGATCGTCGCATAAATTATGTAAATTCCATCTCCACACACCAACCCATCCCCTGATTTTCTATCTCCACGACTCAGGGGCAAAGTTCTACCTCTCACAATTCTTCCAAAAAATTAATCACCCATATAAAATTTAGTTGCGTGATAGTGGGCTCTACTCACAAGCCCCCACCCAGTGATGAAGATGCGAATCATTCAGTAATTTTAAGTTGCTGATAACCGTTACATTCAACCCAACAAGTATGTTATCTCAAATATGGGCTGGTTTCCAACCTCACCCCTACTGGATAATTAACAATAGGGGTGATGACGCCCTGGGAACCAGCTTACCTTCTGCCTCTTTTAGGATGCATCCAAATCTGTTGTTGAGAGCTAGGTCTAGGTCTTCACTCCATTAAATATATACGCAGAGACAGTACACCTAGCCGAAGCTCTGGAAGCTTGTTTCAGACATTGCCTTGGTAGGCTGCAGTGCCTATCTTTGAATGGTACGATGCCGATTTCTTTTCTGGATTCCCTGACATATTTTCTGTGTGGACAGTAATTGTTTCCTGCGTTTTATTTGAAACAGTCCCCTGTTCTGCATGTGAGACATCTGACTCCCTCTCCTGTACTGTACGTGGATGCTTCGGGAGGCCTCATTGACCCAGACAGGTCAGAAGTTGAAACCAACACCGGTCTGGTGATCTCACCGGTGAAGGTCGTGTGTCACGCCCCGGCCGTGGTCGAGAGCGACCTGAGGTAAATCACTTTTGCTCCCTGTAACAATCTATTCTGGAAAATGTGAGAAAGTTTGTAAGATTCACATTCAGCTCAACTATCCTACAAAATATCACAGTCCTTTCAAGAACTTCTTTGTATTCTGTAGGCAACTGGTTCTGGTGAATTGAGGCCTTTTACAATGAAGGCTCAGAAAAAGGCAACATAGAAACGGAATGTAAGATCAAATTTAGGATTACATGTTAAATGTTTTCATAGCAAAAATGGACACAAACTCTTGAGAACTACATGCGGCATGGTGTCTTGCAATGTAAGCTTTCTCCATCATGATCACTCGTTTTTTTCAAAGAGACTGTCTTCTTTCAAGTACTTGTAGTCAGTAGCCGACTACCCTACCCTTACGTCAACCTAGTCTGAGGAAGTACGCTAATCCCTGCCAAACCTTCCTACTCAAATTATGGGGCTATTTTCACCTGCCCCGTGACACTGGAGCCATCTGTCTGATTTAATTGAATTAACATTTCGCTCTCACACCAGAAATTGGGCCCCCTCCTTGATAAAAAGGGAAACTCTAAACTGGGCCAGTCTCCTTCAAGAAACACTTGAAAGTGCCGAGAAGGTCAATTATGATAAGGAAAAAGAAATTCCAAATTTGTCTCCCGTGCGACTTGTTGCATGTGGAACAGGCAGCATCAGTTCCTTAAAAGGAATCTTCGATTAGGTACCCTTGTAATTGTTTGTTTTTTTAAGGATTTCTCTTGCGTAAGCAATATTGACGTCCTTTTTTTGGGGGTCCCGATTCACACCATAGGGACTCGGGCTACACTCAGGAAGCAGCTCGGATCAAAGTGGATGCTGTGCCGACGGTCAGCCTGCTGGGTGACCTCGATGTGACACAGGTCAAAGGTGACAGAGGGTCATCGGCTCCCCTTGCGGTATCTGCATCAAAGGGCGGAGCTAGGACCCCGCTGGTTGTCAAGGGGAACGCACTAGCAGGTAACCCTTGACTCACAGTCACATTTTGCTTCACCCGGGTGTCCTTTTTTTCCATATTTCCTGCAAAACAGTTCATGAACCTGAACTATTTGCGATCATATTTGACTTTGATTATTAAAAGTGGTCTCCAGCCAGATATCTTGCAGTTTGTGTCCAGTGTAACTGGTACCCAGCAGATGTCTGCGTAAAATGTACACGTATGTGTTCGGCAGCCCCGTGAAATGGACTTTTAAAGTATCTACTTGAAACAAGCCTCCATAGTGCAATTGTTCTCATTAGAAACAAAGAAAATTCTCCCTTCCTTTTCATGAATTTTGCATTTGAATATTCATATTCGGAAAATCATATTTGAATATTTGATAGTTGATCGAAAATTCGGATATTCAGCACAGCCCTAGTTCCTGAAATTTAACCCTAACCATGCTGACCCCAACAAGGTTATGCAGGATTTCAGTGGTCCCTAGGGGTTAGGGTTAAGCTAGCCGTTCTGACCCATTGCCATCGATGGTCATCAGATGGTGATCTGTTTAGTCTCAGAAGTGTCTCCTGAATACACCGGTAACGCATATGGTAATTAGAGTTGCATGTTGTCATTTTGGATCCACTTTTTGTTTACTCATCTACGGAGGTTGGTTTTCATCAGTTAAGGGGTTAGTGAGCTCTTGGTCTGTACGCCATAGGAGTCGCCGATAATGAATAGACGCTCACCCAATATCCTGTTGACATTATCGCGCTTGCTGTGAGCTGACCTCTGGGCCATGCAGCAACCCCTTTGCCTCTGACCTCAGTAGTTGCTTCCCGATACGGACCCTGTGTGTGATTGATCCGACACCCGTCAGTTTGTCAAGCCTCGTAATTGTTTTGTCAGTTTGAGAGCAACCGGACAATGTGGTTAGCTTCTTCATAACCCCCCCCCCCGGGAGATTAGCGTCTGCAACTCGAGGAGGCTCATGATCCAACCTTGCCGTCATCAGCCTAGTTCCTGTTTTTGTTGTTTCAATTAAGCTTGGGAATGATTCTCAAGCCATGGGATGGGAGCTGTATTGGCTTACAGTTGTCCATGTATCATTTCAGTGACCCTGCATTTTATAGCTTTAACTGTGGCAATGTGCTTGATAATAAGACCCATTCTCCCATTCAAGTTCTGACAAGGGCTGAGTCCATTTGAATAATTCACACTATTGGAATTTTCAGCCTTCAAATCGATGGAATATCCGCATATTTAGTTGTACTGACCGGCAGATTGTTGAGTAATAAACCATACACAAAATCAGTTGGAATAATGCACACAGTTGTACATTATAACCAAACCACTGTAATAGCTTCTCACATCTAGTAGTATCTCCCACCACAATTTGGCAAAATTAAGAGACTAATAACACTTTTTTTCCTGTTGAAAATGTATATTTGTTTCAGATTTTTGAATGAATAATTTACTTTTTGAATCGTAAGGTTTCTGTCACTTTTCAGTTGAATCTGCTTGGAGCAAGCCTCTATAGTGCAACTTTTCTCATTTAGAACAAAAGAAAATTATCCCTTTCCATGAATTTTGCATTCGAGTCTTCAAATTCAAAAAATAATATTCAAATATTTGATTATCTATCGAATATTTGGTTATTTGGATATTCGGCCCAGCCGTAGTTCTGACAAAGTAATCTCATAAATTACAGAAAAACAAATGAGATAATAAAACCTAGTTTTGCCTTTGTGGAAGGTGTGGAAGTTCTTTAGATTGATCTCAGTTTTTGTACAAATAATTCAATTTTTTTAATTAAAATAAAATCTTGAGTGTTACTGGGAAAAGTAATGTGAAATCGAGTGAATTTTTTAAGAATTTGAGCATTCGGAAATTTGGAAGAGAATAACTAGACTCCATGGATGTCAAGCTACAAGACGTTTTGTATGTCTCCTAATGGATGCACGTATGTGAAAGACAGTGATGATCTCAAAGGAAGTTGCCATTGAGTTGAATTCCTGTGGCTCTGTGTCCATTCTCCACTGCAGGCATTGCGCAGGATATGACTTCGGCCTTGAGAATTGATGACGCCTCCAGAGACGAGGACGAGACTGTGCCAAGGTGAGAAGCCATGTTGAATTCTGTAGCAGTCAGCAATGTTTGGTTTCTCCGAATACAAACTTTTGTCACCGAATTGCATGCAAGTATTAATGGAGACTTAGAACCGTTGTGCAGTTCTTTCTTGCATTATATGCCGATTCGCTTTTTTTCAGGACTATTAAGACAGAATCCACCCAGAAGGACAAAAAGAAAAAGAAAGGTAACAATTCTTTGTTGTGTCCGTTGAAGCTACTTCTTTTTTTTTTTTGCTTGCCGAACTGAAAAGCCCAGCCACCGTTGTTTGACACAAACATTGATGGCCCATTTTATGTCAAATTACAACAAATTAAATTATTCAACAGTGAACTTCAGGGCAATTCTGAAAACTGCAAAAAATATGTTAAGGGTTCCAATAAATGCCGTTGTACTCTAATTTCTCTCTTGCCTGTGAGTAAGCAGACTTTCTTGAAATCTTATCAACTCCCTTGAGAGCACACTTAGTATATTCCCGCGGGTTGGGACAAAGCAACTGCAGCAAAATGCCTTGCTCAGGAACACAAATACATCAGTTGGTGTTGCTCGGACTACACATTCCTGCCCCCTCGCACCCGTCACGAGCATTTCTTTCCCCCACATGTCATCTCCTAGCCACCATCGTGCCGTCGCGGTACATGCAAGCCGCTACCAAGACCACATCTGCTGGATCCAGTTCAGTCAGGGAATCGACCACATTCCCTCCTCGACCACAATACGGCTCGTCTACTGCAACTTCCAGAGGAGGCCCAAATAAAAAAGCAGTCAAGGTCAGTACATGTATTTCGAAAGGAGATGTTTTCCATTTTTTAGGCTCCGGAAGATTTCAATTAATTTGTTAGAGAGGATAATAAGACAAACCATGTACTTGAATCTGTTTTGAGTTAAAAGTCACTTTGGTTGAATTGTCAAATTTAACAGAAATTGCCGAGCTTTTGTTTTTCCCCAAGCAGTCGTCCCATCCCAAGAGGACAGTCAGTGTGTCGGCAGCCCATCAGCCAGTCGGCAAACAGCGCAGCCAATCCTCCCGCCAATCGCATTACAGCTACACCCCGGTGCCTCGTGGGATGCACCGAGGGGGCGGAGTCACCTCCACGCCTGCCGTGAATGCCTCTGTTCCCCCTTCTGCTGGGAGCTTGGATGCATCGGCCATCGGGGCATCCATGGTCCAGGGCCCTGATGCATCCATGGCAATGGCCCCGGCATCAGGTTAGTTGTTCTTATCCACACTACTGGCTCTGTGTATGCTGTTACAGTTGCCGCAACCTGTGGTTACCTCGTTATTTTCACTTTTTTTTTTTTCATTTTTTTAAAGCAAAATTTGACTTTCACTTTACATTCCTTGTTGTTCATGTTAATCGTGGCTTTTCCACTTACCATAACGTAATTTATTAACATATCAAGGATATGTGTACTTGGACTTTTTTGGTTACGTGTGTTCTTCCTTTGTACTTGTTTTCCAATTCCTTACAATTCCTTGCAAAATTTCAGTAACGGAGTAAGATTTTTAAAAAATTCAATCGACCTTACTTAGCATAGTTCACGTCTCAGATACCAAATAGCAAATGTTTGCGAACCGCGAATACAATCGGGACAACAGGTGAGGAAAAAAAGTGAGAGGTTGCAAAACTATCCATAAATCTGTCGGCTGCAACCTTGAATGAGGTGCCTGTTATTCTCCCCTGCAGGTGTTGCTATGTCATTAGCCGATAGACTGGATAGTGCCAAGAGCCTGTCCCACCACGAAGACCTCTCTGCTGCAGGTACTTGAGCATGTCGGCAAGACGTCCTCAGATCGTCATCGCAAAATTTTTGTCCGCCGAACTGTTCATCTTCATGCTTGCCCGGACCGTCATTCCTCACCTCAAGTTCACAAAAACAAAGTGGCTAGTCCCCTCCAACAATTTCAACAATGTTTTCTTTCAAACCTTTGCAATCAGGACTTGAGATATTGAAGACATTAAATTTTGTAATGCACTTGTTATAAAAAAAAGTGCATGAACTTTGAGACATTCTTATAAAATTCATTGTCTAATTTACTGTCGAACTCCTACATATAGCTACCATTTTGGTTTCCTTCCAATAAATTCCATCTCCTGCTTCTTCTCAAGCCTTTTGGCACGTTTTGATTTGAATTTCCAGATACATCCGTCTTCCAGTCTGGCATGTCATCCACCGCTGGGCAGGATTCGGCTTATGCGTCGTTCCCAACGACCCACAGGGTAAGTCTTGGCCACTGGCGGACTTGCTTGATCCGATCCACTTGGTGGCAAGGGAAGACTGTTGAAATCAAATCTCCTCACCAGAGAGTACCATCGAGAATTCCCTGCCTTGGCCGCATTGAGACATTGAACCAAGGGTATTTCAACTTACATTCACAGAAATCAGTGAGGGAAATTGTTTGGAAAAGGTGCCGAAGGAAGACATTTGCAGTTGTTTTTGACACGGCTTAGTGATGCCACTGTTTGGCATTGACTCTGTGCTAATCCCAAGATGCCGGTCTGATTCGCTTTGCAGAAGAAGCGGGCATCTGATATCACCCAGGACTACCTGGATCGGTCGTATGCTCGCTACACACAGGCCCTCTTCCTAGATTCCAAGGTGAGCTTATGACAGAAGCAAAATGCAAACCAAAACAGTGTGATCCATGATGATGTCAAATTGCCCTGGACATCTCCAAGACAGTTTTCCTGTGCTAAGATACAACAAGAGGATGAATTGCCCCTGTAGACTCCGGCGGGGTCACTCCTGTTGCTGGTATAAAAGACCTGGTCGTTAGATCTGATTCCGTTTTTCTTTCCATCTTTCTCAGGTAGAGAAAACTCTGAAGGAACAGGAGAAGGAAGCCATGGTGAGTCGTTCCTGCTTGTTCCCCCTGCATTTGTGGCTTCATTTTTCTCTCGAACAGAACCTGTTCATTTCAAGATGAATGTGATATCTTGAAACAGAACCCTCTTCCAAAATAGAGTGGGCTTGACCGTCAAAGCTCACACCCGTCCTAAATTGCCTCGCTGATTTTCCAGTCTCAGATGTACGGCCTGTGGCACGAGAATGAAAAACTGAGAGCTAGGAAGCAAGAGTTGGAGCTGGAGTTGACAAGCAGTCGCCACGCCAACCGCCTCGATCAACAGCTTGACGTCCAGGTAAGTGTGTCAGTCACTGCAGTTCTTTTTTCCTGGAACCTAGGGCAACTCAGATTAACCAATTTGATTTAATTTCTTGGAAGCTAGAGAGGAATCCCTAGTAAGTCCAGAACAAAGTCTGTAGCACTTGGACGTTCACAGCATGCCTTCTTTGCTCAGAGATAAGTCTTAGCAGTTCCAAAGTTTTACAGCCAATCAGTAATCAGTGAACAAACTTCTTTGGGTTCTGCAAAATGACTTCTGCACTTCAGGTGTATCAACAAACCGCTTTGCCCTTTCACTGAAATTACATTTTTACCTTACCCATTACGACGAAAATTCACCAAATCGGTTTACTGTGAAGTGGACAAAGATGAACCAAGCACTCCTCGAGATGGTGATTAGACTATTTTCAAGTCGTAACTGTCGATATTTAGAGTATAACTGAATTTGGAGAGCAAAATGCCAACTTCGATTTGATTGGACAATCATAGGTTTCCATTGCCAGACATCCCTTTCATTTTTTGGACGTTTAGATTGGAGGCCTCGGCCCGGTTGTGGCCCATCTTGATCAGCTGAAGAAACAATACAGCACCTTGGCTCACGCCTTGGACACGACCAGACACCAACTGGGGACGGCCGGTATCCACATACCACAGGACGAGGACAGTTACCACGGTGAGAGTATGAAATAGCCGCATCCAGACGACTTGGCTAGGGCTAGATATAATGCATGGGTCCATGAGAGCCACTACCTGGTGACTTCATGAAGTATCCATTGAAGCCCGCCCTGTTGGCAGCCATGGTCAAATTCTTCGATTCAGATGCGAGATAACACCACAGGATGAGGACGTTTTTTCAATTACGTTTTTGATTTCACATCTCACTGAAGAAAAAATCACATAAGTGGGGTTCAGCTGGAATAAATGTACAAAATGAAAACTGAAAGGATCCGAAAGATTTGTCACAACATGAGGCCAAAAAGATGGAACATACCAAGGTTTTTATTTCTGTCTCGCTATCTTCAGAGCTGCTCATCAGTGCCTTGGCCGAGAGTGAGAACCTCCTAGGTGAGATTAATGCCGCTACTCGGACTCACCAGCCCAAAGTCACCTCGTTCGCGAGTGCCATACACGCCTTACAGAAAGCTGTCGAAAATGAAGACAAGGAACTCAAGAGGTATAAAGCATGCAACAAAATGAGGGAACCTCCATCTTTCCCTTTGTCTCTAGTGTCCATATGTGCCGTGGCCTCCTTGTACTGGATGTAGTATATCTTCCGCTTATTTCACTGCATCTTTTCCTTGGTAACTTTTAACTTCAGACCAAAATTAGAAAAAGGCATTAAAACGCCTGTCACAAATCACCCACTGGCAATTCGCCAAAGGGTATTCAACTGAGCTCTGACGAAGCAATTTTTCACGCCGGTACTGATGATTTATCTTGTCAATTGACTTGTCTTTTGATTTTGGCAACATTACAATTCTACATTTTAATTTCCATGTCAAAAGAACATAATTGGATTATGCCAGATTATGATTATGACTTACAACAGTTGATTTTGTTTTTTAAAGATGCATTTTGTCATTGATCATAAGACTTCATTTATCTTCTGGTTTCCTCCAGGTGTCAGGAGCTTCTGGCAGCAACCAGCACTTTGGCGACCCAAGAGAGTTCCCTGAGAATACAGCAGATTGAGCAGTGATGCACAGACACAAGATTGCCCCGCCTAGATATCTCCTTCATCTGCTGTCTTCATGAGATGGCTAATTTCCACCCCATCCAGTACAGCTAAGTAGGAAACTAATCATTTGTTAGTGGCACACATTTAGCTGTAGGTTTGCAGTGTGACGGCTCGGAGTGCATTCTTGTGTGGCATTCCGGCAGTTATAGGTTCGAATCCAGTTCCTGTGAATGTTGTTCTACCATGTGGAGAGAGCTATCCCCGTGACTTGGCTTGACGGCATTCCTGAGATAAGTTGAGCAGTATTTCAACTCCAAGATCTGACCAAATGCTTCAGTTCATTGACCCTCATCTGCTGTAAACATAACAGATTTGAACCTGGGACCAGAAGGTTGTGGAGAAACCTGAATCATATTCTGGCGTGTCAGTGGAGCTGCAAGCGTGAAGCGTCTAAGGTGTAGGGTCCGGGGCCTGCTTAAGGGCCCTGGGAACATTTTGAAATGTAGATGCTCCGTGGTGCATTTTACAGCTTCCTGGGACAACCATTGGTCATTTTTTTCTTGTAATTTATGCATATTTTCAATTTAACTTGGGCCTATTTGCCTGACACTTCCTGGAGGCTAAAATGAACCAGAAAAAGGTATACCAAAATTGTAAAAATCGTAGTTTGTAGTGTGAGTTGGCCCTTTTCACACTTGCTAGCTTCATGTTGTCTGCCTGTTGCAAACTTCACAGGCAGCAAAATGCATGTACATGTAGGTGGTTGTAACATCATAACATCAAACCCATATTAAACAAGAGCAATGAAACTGTTCTTCTTTTCTTGTTCTTCTCGGCTCTCTCTTTGAGATCCAAGCATGTGCGATATGCCACTCTCATATTTCTGCGCAAGGTGGCATTTACAAGAGTACGGGATGGGACTGCTCTGTCAAAGTACCGCACCGCTGTCCTTTTTCTTGACATAAGCTCGCACTTGACGGTCTGGATTGCAAAGAAGCTGCCAACTTGTAAGGTTGATTTCTTCTTGTTTAGGACATCTTTCACGATGCGGAAAGATGACTCCACCGCTGGGCAGTGGAAGCAGCTCAGTGAGGCAAATACCATTTTGGTCAGGTTTGGGTATGTGTTGGCATATCCGGTCCAACAAGTCACGATGTTTCCGGTTCCGTCTGTTGACTCGGGAACCTGATTGTGATATTGATGTGGGCCAATTGTCACAAAGCCTTCTATCGGGGTGATCAAAAATTTATTAACCTTAATTTCAAGCTGCAAATTCACAGTGAGATGTGTGCTACTGCGGGTTGTAGTGGAGATTGTTAGTCACTGCTTGTGCAGACACAGGACAGCGGTAACGAGTTTCACCAACACACATATGAATATTGATGTTTCATTTGCAACCAATCATAGCACAATGACCGGATGGCTCCCAGGATGCTGTTTTAGTATGCAAATTTTATGTACACGCTGAAAAATGCCGCCACAGATTTGTAGGCACGTACGCACATGTACATAGGATTCAATCATTACGGCGCTCTGACCGTGTTTTTGCATGCGTTCGGTGTCGGCAAAAAGAGGATGGGCAAAGATTTCGGGAGAGGTCATGAGCACCCCATTTCATCTTCAACTGCTCACTCTTCAGCTAGCATTAATTGCAGCACGCAAGAGACCTTCTCAAACGATTCTTGTAGATTCTTAAAAACTTGCTAGAAGCTGCACAAGTAAATGTCTATTTTTGATGTCTATTTAAAAGTGCCTTTTTGCTTGATAAGTTCAATCCCTAGTCAGTAAATGACTGAAGTCGTAAATGCATTCCTTCTTGAAAAGCTTTGTTTTGTGTTCACTTATGTATTTATAAAGAAGAGCAATTTGTGGTTTGAAATGTAGCCAAAAAATATACACCAAAGAAAATGGATTGGCTTCTAGAGAAGAGGGGTCATTGATTAATTAGTAATGTTTGGCGAGGCGTATATTTAATCTTTTCCTTTCATCTTTTCCTTGTTAACACAGTAAATTTTACTGTTCGATAAAATAGAAATCGTAAGCCATTTTTGATATCAACCTTTTGCCAGGTAATAAAAAAAAAGCAAGGTTCATTACGTTTGCTAATTTCACCTGTCACACAATGTAATATCGTTGGTGTGTTGTTACATGTCTACATTCTTAAAGAGAGAGAAATCGTTTACTTTGATTTGACCTCTTGCAGATGGCATGACTTAATATTGAGCAAGCAAGAATTCAAATTATAATTCAGTTCAGTTGGAAACATTCAGTACTCAATAATGTAATGGCCCAATGGAAATAGTTTGTTTGAGCGCATGATTGCGCATATTAAAGCTGAAACACTTAAACAAAGGAAGACATTTCACTTTCATATGAACACCAAAAAAATTGAACTTTATTTTTTTTCCTCTGAAACGTTAGTTAACAGTAACAAGTTTTAAGATATGAAATATAAATTGAACAAAAGATACTTCAAGGAATACTCGTAACTAGCTTTCAAATCGCTGATGTTCGTGCATTTAATTATCAAGCTCAGGCAGTAAACAGTAATCGTATCTTTCAACCTAGCCAAAATGTCTAGCAAATGATGCATAATTATGTGTACTCAGTGACTTAACAGAGCTGGTTCAGAGATCTGTGATCTCCCTGAAAACAGTGCTGCATGTACTTAGAACAGATCAACTGAAAATCATATCCACACCCATTACTTCCATTAGGTACTAAACAAGTCATACATTCATTTTCATTTTGGGGAGTATGAGTTGGAAAAAAAATGAGTTCACTTCAAGTGCAGAACAGACCGCATTGGAAGAAAAATCTCAACCCTGACAGTCTTCAATCCTTCACCCTGTTGGAGGACTGTGGACTAGGACCCGTTGCATTGTCACATGGTGGCAGACTGTGACAAAATGAGGATTTTAGAAGAAATGCTGAGAAGCCGATAGGGCAAAACCAGGAAGGCGAAAATGGGTAAAATAGGAAGAACATTCTACTAGGCAATGCTGGCCGTGCACCTGCCTATCCCGTTCGTGACTTCGTCACAAAGGCGGAGGCGCCACGATTTGCAGGCTCCCATTGGACGACCGCTGAAGTTGCGCGTTGGCTTCCGGTTCCATGGTTCCATGTAAACGGCGATCAATGCATGTAACTCTATGTGCAGTGCATGTGCAGTGGGCGTGGTTTAAACTGAAGTGACGTCACACTTAATATGAACAAGAGAGAGGAATACCACCTGAGAGAATGCTGGGAACTAGACTTGTGTCCTATGCTGTGTGAAAAAGCTTCAACATCATGCCATTATACAATACAAAAATGACTGTACTCCCAGCATGGCCCCCTGGTGAAAACCCTACATAAGAATTGTACAAAACTGAGGGATACAGAGTATCCTGAGGGTAGGGATAATGGTCAGCAATTAATCAATTCAAGTGAATGGTAAGTATCTAAGTGAGTATTCAAGGCTTTGATTTAAGCAGTCATGATTACAAACGGTGCATATGACCAATGTAGTAGTCAAGTCCAGTCTCAAGTCCATTCACAAGATCAGCCAGAGGAGTAGCAATGTGACCAAGGAGAGCATCTGTCACAGTTCATATGAAAAGCTTGCCACTTTGGTTTAACCCTAAAAGAGCTGGGGGGGGGTTGGAATCTGCCCCCCTCATATTATTTCCCCCCAATATCACCACAGTGCTTTTTTTTCCAAAGGCGAGCCCAAAGAGTTTTTTGAGTAACTCTTTTTGGTAATTTTGACACCATTTTCTTGATAATTGAATACAAGTACACCGTTCTCGCACAACACCCATTTTTCGGAGACAGGCCGGCCAAAAAATGTATAATTTTCCGTTGCCATGCTCAGTGCACGCTAGCGGTAGCCTTGCACTTCAAATGACCATAACAACACAACCATATGTCACGTGAAGTTGAAACTTCACATTTATTCTTATAAGGAGCCTCTCTACATGTGTGCCAACTTTGAAGAAAAATTGGGCATTGGACAGCCAAGTTCTTTGGAGGCAGAATCTCCTGTCTCTACCCAGCTGTCAGATGGTCCAAAATTACCAAGCTCTTTTAGGGTTAAGACTGGATACCTGTTGTGGACGGACTCCACCGCAACACTGCATTTGACACTCTTGCAATATTTTATTTTTAAACGAAAATTCGAACATGTTCTTCAAACTCTTTTCCTTTCTTTCCTCTGCACAGATACGGTACAAAACTACAAAATTATCTATTTTTTTTTTCATTACAAAATTTGAGCTCTGGCAATTAACAAAAATAGATGAACACACAACAAAATCATCAAAAATATTTTTAAGGAAATCACTGACATTATTTTCTTGTCCTTGATATTTTCAAACAACACTGATTGGACTGGTCTGCCTATTCGACATCGGAGAAACTCTCCATTTTTGAAAATTTCATGGTGCATAAGTATAATTTCATCACATTTCAAACTGGCTTGAAGCTTTGTGTGACTCTGCGACAGGCCTCAGACTTACATGTAAATGAAATGCCAGAGTGTTTTGGACAGACCAGCAGGGTAAGGCTTGACCCTGCCAACGATTTGAACTTGCAAATCCCTTTACGACATTCGTCAAATTGTGTAGAATGTTTAACCAGTGAATGACGTGTAAACACACACAATTTTCCCTATTTGTTCCACAGAGGACGAGTACACTTATTTAAGACTTATCATTTCCGCGGTGCATGTATTAACCACTTCCTGCCAGGGTGCGCGGTTTTGGACAAAAGAGCTGGTCTGTGTAACAGAAGATTGTGCTCAGAACAAAGGACCTGCTGCTGGGAATTGCAATCATTTTTCGACTTTCATTTTTCGAAGGTAATCCGGAACTGTTTTGGGCATAGCGCGCTCGCGGATTAGCACCGCGGACAAAAGTGCCCAAGGGCCCCATTGATTAGTGACACAGCGCCGCTGCTCGCTAATCCAGCTGCGTATGAAAAGACGCCACTGGCATTCACTGGAACAAAGGAAATTACGCAACACCTCTCAATTCTTTTACAGGGCTGCAGGCCTGGGCTGAGCACTTGGGCGTCAACGAAGGTTACCTGTCAGATTAGAGTAGCCACCAGACAGTCGTTCGTGTGGGTGTAAACGTCCAGTAAATGAACACATGAATTTTTGAAGAATTTTGAAAACGGATAATCTTGAAAAGGTCCCGTCATCTCGTCCCACTCAAGAAAAATCCACCCGGCAGGTAGTGGTTAATATGTCGTGCTTGGTTGTGTCATAAATAAATTGCAATTTGGAAGAAATTGCAGGAGAAAAACCTGCCCCCGACCACTTTTTCGGGTAAGAAACTCTGGCATTAACTGGTTATTAAAGGTTTATTCGATAATTACTGCACCGAAGCAGTGGTGCATTCAGGTTTTGAGAAAGGGGGCCACAATGGGACATTTTGTCTCAAAAATGTTTTGGCCCATTTTTGGCCCCTTTGACAAACTTGACAGCATTGTTCTGTGTATGTGTGCTTCTTAAAACTTACCACTAAAGTTTGGGTAGCCAGAAGAACTTTCTTTCGGCCTTATGTCCGAATTAAAGTTGAAGCGCTTAAAGCACTTTTGAAGGTTGTTTGTTAGATACGTTGTGTTGCTTATCACAGCTCACATCTAGGTATACACATTTTTTCATAAACAATTTTTCAATGCATAGCTATCTTGACTATACCTCAACATATCAAAATTCCAATATGTAATTTGTGATTTTCAGTACATATTGTTAACGCATATATATTTTACTCATGGCAAAAAATTGGCTGAACTTCTTTTCTTAATCTACTTCATCTGTTAGAAATTAGGTTATTGACGAAACGTTAACTACACTCTACACGTCTGCTTCAAATTTAGAGTAAAGAAAAACCTACACTACTACACAATCCCTGAATTAGTCCCTGTCGGTGGGATGGTAATCGCTTCATAGAAGCCATCAACCCAACGCAAATACAGAAGTTCCATTCCACAATAAATGGAAGTTCCGTTGCACAGTCACACCATGGGTTGTTCTCTCACAAAGCTCCTGTACCACTGGTATTTGACAAATGCCACACACTGTTTCTTCCAAGGGCTGAAGAATTTTGGAACTTGCAAATGACGTAGGATTTAGGGTTTATTAAGGCATCATATAATCAGAATAATGACAGTAATTTGATTCATCTGCAGGTCTAAGAATCAAACATTCTGTCACCTCATGAAATTATTCCTACCACTGTCGCGGAAAATCGTGGATTTTTAAAATACTGTTTCACATTTTTTCTCAGTGGAAAATGATATCAAAAATGAAAAGAAAATTAAATTTTCAGGGGAGTTCTAGAATCCCCAATAAATAACTTAACACAAAAAACTCTCCAGAACAGACATTCAAACAAGAATGTATTCAAGTCGAATAGAATAAAGGAAAATCTTAAACCCCATAGGTCGCATCTTTAAGAATCTATGATTGGCTAGCTCTTGGCCAATGAAAAGAAATCTTTTGAGTCACATGTTCTCCAATAAATTATGAACAGTCACGAAAGGCTTTTTTAAAAAAGAAATATCTAGGCTGTTTTCTACAAAAATATCCAAAAGAACATATTTCCTGTTGCAATTTGACAGGTTCTGCTTAAAGTCAACTGGTTTAAGGAAACAAGCTCTCCTCTTGACTGCATTTTGAAACGGTGGAAATAATCAGAGGAAGGAAACAAGTCAACTGTTGCTTTCTTGCATATCTTAAAATCAGCTTACAATAAATGCTAACTGCCTTGTCCATTTTGCTGTGGACAGTCCTGAATCCTGGAAAATCCTTCACTTTGAATCAAACCATAAGCACATTGTGTCTCATGGCATTTCAAGGGTCCTCAAACCAGCGTTGGAATCAGGTCCCTCAGAAACCCTTTCAAAAGTCCCTTCACAAGGCCAGTCACAAGTTCGGTCACGACACAAGTTGACAAAGGTGACAATCAAAGTGCATTTGACTAGCTCATGACTTGACGACTTGTGACGGACTGCGTACAGTTTCGAAATCGCAGGGACTTGTGGTAGAAATGACCAGGGGTGTTGACAACAAGGAGGAGGAAGCACTTTGTAAGAGGAGAACCACTTGGCAGCAAACGATCAATGATGGAGTAAGGTCAATTCCCAGATATTTTCACACAACTTGGTGATTTTCATCCTCTTGCCTTCTCACATTTTCGTTTCTATCTCCTTTCCCTGTCTTTGCTCTTATTTTTCCAGGGGGGGGGAGGAAAACAAGAAGCACCAACCCCGACGCCTACGCACAGGATTACAAGGCTGCCTCGAGCCGCCGGTGGTGAAGAAACGGTTACCTTCTTCCTAGTGAGACTTCTTTTGTCTCTTCTCACAGTGCCTGCTCCAGACTGGCCCTGATTCGTTCCATCTCGGCCAGCTCCCGCTGCCGCGCCTCAATCTGTTCCTCCAGCTCTCTCTTCTTCAGCTCAATCTCCCGCTTCAGGGCGTCCAGCTTGGCCGGGTCGGAGGCCGCCGTACCAGGCGATGCCACCGAGCCCGAGGGGGAGACGGGCAAGTCTGGCAGGGGGCTCTTGGGCGCAGCGGGGCTGGCAGCCCCGGACAGGTGATCTTTGACAAGCTGTGACAAATGAATCAAGACGACAGACATGAAAACTGGTTCGGATTTCACCAAACACGAGTTAAACTTGTGGAAATGAAAAACGCTATTGGCAAACAAATGAAAGCGGTTAAGAATTTAGGCTACAAGTAACTTTCCCCCACATAAGGGCACAAAAGAGTTAAAGAGATCGCACAATATATAGAACCAAGTCGGGTTGCATCAACACAGCTATGGCAAATTTCTGTCCATAATGGCGCAATCTAAGTAGCAAATATTTCCCCAAACCTCTACTTCACTTCACCAAGCAACGGATGTGCTTAGAAAAAAATGTGTGAAGTTGGCAACCAGAACCAAAGTACCGTATGTCCAATCGCTAGCATTTCTGGTCGGTACTCTGGTTTTGCTTGATATCCTGTTCTTGTTGGGCAAAATTTTTCCCAGACTTAGGCCGTGTCCAATTACTTCGCTGGGCTGGAAATTACTCACGAGTCTAAGGCAGTGGTCACAGCCAGTTCCCATAGAGTTGCAATTTCCTGCCATAGCCAAGTGATCTGGTGGCTTGTTCCACATCCAAATCTTTTAACTAGAGCTACGTCTTCATCGGCTGCAAAAGGTCTGAAAGTTTGCTTCAGAGATAGCTGGATCAACTCCATAAGATATGCCCCAAGGGGAATTGATCTGTAGTTGAAGGATTTGGGGTTTACCTGACCGATGTCTGTGCCATCCTCGTCAATTAACGAGATCAGTGATGTCCCATCATCCGTCGTGCCACTCATCTTGGCCAGCATTCGCTTGGCGTCGGTGCGCTCTCTGATCAAATCGCACACTGTCTGCTCGTTGACGGCGATGTCGCGCGGCAGACCTAGCGAAGAGACATGGAAAATAAATGGCCAGTTGAAATGGCAAAATTTCACCGCACAAAAGTCCTGCCTGATGACCCCCGTTTCCAATGCGAGGTGAAAACTGAGAGACATTCTTCACCTTGTAGTCCGCACCGTATGGCTTGCATGGGCAGCTCAGCAAATTGGCCCTCAGGGGTCACCAATTGTGACCATGGCAAGGGCTCCTCATTGCCGAAGTCGACATAGTAAACGAGGGCTCTCTCCTTGGCCTGATTGATCTTGAGGACCTCCGCCCTATACCAGTAGTCATCTGGGGCAAAAGAAGAAATCAGAAATTCTGTGACCTGTTGGTTTTTTTAATTGGAGGCATCGTAGACAGCAAGAGGGCGCCATCCAGTAAAGTAGCACCTTCGCCATCAATTGTTTGCGTTCCCAGTTGCAACCATTGCACAGCGCCCTCTAGCGGTCATGATCAGAGCCAAGCTGCTGCAACAAGGGGACAGGCTGGTGGAAAAAAAAATTTCAACTTGGTGCACAACGCACCTGCAATCCTTAATTTGTGTGCGCACGTGGTACTGTCACAGAAAAGGGACACCCTCTCTATGTAAAAACACGCCACCTTTTGTTCCTGCTAAGACTGGGTAACGAGGTTCACTGGTACCTAGAGTCTTCATTACCTGTGTATTTCGCTAAGCACAGGTCGCCAACCATCGGCGGGCCCCTCAGCTGTAGACTGACGGCTTCCTGGGCAATTTGTTCCATCAGGAACTTCAGCTTGTCGACTACCACAAACAAAAAGACAGAAATCAGAGAGGTGTTTCCGATCTGCACATGGCCAGAATGACATACAGTGATAAAAGAGGAAGCGTCGTGCTGCATACTGTTCAAAGCAAGCTCAGTATCAAGACCAAAACAGAGGGTTTCCTCCCGGGCCAAAACCAAACACGTGGGCAGACTGGATTGAGGCAAAACTCCAAATGAAGAGAAGCAGATGGCTGCTAATTTATTTTGGCAATTTGGGATTATCACACAATTCTGTCAACCTCGTATAAATGCACTGCACTTCTTCTGAATGTATAACTTATTGTCAATGTTCTTTCTGTTCTTGGTCTATGGGTAATCTTACAGCCTTGCATCCAATTGACAGCAAACCTCTGTCATCACTTGTGTTACGCCAACAAAGATCCCAATACACAATTAATTCCAACGACAGTGCAGAATTAGCACAGAACCCCATCTGAGCGTCAAAACTCACTTTCTTCTCGGATGATCAGCTGGCAGTAGAACTCGTGAGGATTGACTACGTGAGTCACCGTGACCGCAACTTGAGTGTTGGTGGGCAGAATGGCCTTCTGCAGGGTCCTTGCTAGAAGGCGACCCTCTGGCAGTTAATTGTAGCAAGAGTAAAATGTCAGTCTTGGATGAAAAAAAGGTTGAGTTTCATCACTGACCATGGGTCACTAACAGTGACATGGCCATTTTCCCGATATTTCAATACAAAATGATTGCGCATGCAGTTTTATACAGAAAGACAATCTCGACTTTCCTCTTTCGTCATCTACTCAGACAAGTGCAACCCTGGTTATGAGGACAGAAAGTTGCTACTTTTGGGGCCTCAACCTCAACCCCTTTCCTCTTGAGAGTGACCATACTTACAAGCAAGCACAACAGCCCATCACTTCTCAAGGCAAGTTGCAACTCCAAGATGTTCCTAACTCAAGTCAGAGGAAAGAGACTTAGAGGTAGTTACCCCCGTGGAAGAAAGTCAGTCTGGAATGATTATGCCCGGACTTTTTAGTTTTGAAAAGTGCGATTTCTTGCCACATTCTGCAAGACACAGGCTATGATCCTTTTTTGACGGTACCTTTGTTTGGAGTGGTTGCCATAGTCATCGGCCTAGCCAAGCCTAGTCTGATGAGCTCATCCTTCAGGTTGTGGATCTCAGAGCCGTCATCACTGGAGTACTGAAGCTCCACCTCATAAACCTTCCCATCATGCTTCACCAACTTGACCTGGCAATCCTTGTCCTTCTCAATCAACTGTTTTTATTGAGAAACGGGGAAAACCAAGAGTTGCAAATCTTTGGCTCAGTTCACAAAGTGTAAGCATCATCAGCCTCTTACAAACCACCTGTGTTCAGAAATGTCATTGATTATGTATTATGCATAATTAACAAAGTGGATGCCATGAAGTTCTTTTCAGTTGTACTTTGTCTTTATGAGCCGAATTTAGTCACACATACCTCCGTTGAAATATAACATGCCGCCTCTGCAAACTGTCGCGCCTCCTTATCTCCTGAGGGTGCCATCACACCACTCAAGGAACACCGATGCGCCAGACGCGGCACCTCCAGAAAGTCGCCCTCCAGCTTTTGCAGCCGTTCAACGGGCACCACCTCCCAGTTGCCGTAGTCCACAAACATCACCTTGAATGCCTGTTCAGGGGCCACCTCCATTAATGCCAGGGCCCTGTACCACTCCCCGTCGGCGCTGTACATGGCCGCGCACAGATCGCCGGCGCGGGGCAGGTGGGGGCGTTCCCCCGCGCGGGGATAGTGACGGTTGAGCTCCGTTCGCAGCAGCCGACTCAGCTGGATGTAATCGTTGCTCTTGATCTGCAAGTGGAAGTCGCATGGGGAGCTCACACAGGTCAGGATTGCGGTAAACTCAGCTGGAGGTGGGATGCCGTCGGGGAGCTTAGCAAGTCCAGCCTCCACACGATCACCTGACTTCAATTCCATCTCTTCATTAGCCAATGTTTCGGGAACGCCACAGGTTGTGGGCAGGATCACCCGGTCGAAGACCGGCAGCTGCGACAATGACTGCTCATTCTTATTGGCTGACAAAGCAGGCTGAGTTTTCCTCTGCTGCTCCTGATTGGCTGACTGGTGATCACCTGATGGACCCGGGGAGTGATTCTCCATTGCAACTGGCTCTGCCAATCCCTTGACAATCAACTCTTTGTTGAGGGAGCACCAATTACTGTCATCGTTGGAGTAGAGAAGCTCTACCTCACAAACCTTCCCATCATACTTTGTGACATGAACCTTGAAGGCTTTCTCCAGGATCTAATGTGAGAAAAATTCAGAAAGTAATTAATTCCCTTTTGTCTGAGAAACAAAACTCAAAACTAATCTTGGCCTGGGTCAAACTACAAACGGGTAAAATAACCGTACCTTTTGACTATAAAAGACGCCCTTATTTCTGTCATCTGTGATGATGCTCACTATTTACAAGGCAAAATAATTTTCATAGCAGTGCTACAGAAATCCCTTTACTACTTTTGAAGTCAGTTTGACAAAAGGTCAAGCACAAACAAGACAACGGCGTTTCAATTATAATATCGATGTCTTGTGTCACTGACCTCTTTTCTAAGATCACTGTTCCAAGCATCATCTCTGGAGGGCGCTCTGAGGCCACTCAAACGGCAGTGGATGGCAGCTACGGGAATATGTTTAAACTTCTCCTCAAGCTTCTGGACGTCCTCCGGGGAAACGGTTTCCGTGTTCCCGTAATCTACAAAAAAGATCTCCAGGGGTGTATCTTGGCTCGAGCCACCACCCAGGACCCGACCCCTGTACCACAAATTGTCCATCTTGTACTTGGAGGCACAGCATTCACCTATGCCTGGCCTGTGAGGGCGCAGTGGGGCCAGCGCATAATGCTGGTTCAGATTGAGCACCAACGACTGCACGGCACATGCATTTTCATCCGTGGCAACCTGAACGTATACATCCCCCATGTCGCTCACCACAGTGACCAATCCCAAGAAGTCTTCTGTAGGCACTTGTGGCGCCGGCAAAGATGGAACACTCTGACTGACTGATGGAGAATGAGACACACCATGATTGGCTGGCAGCATGCTGGAAGAGCTATCAACTTTGGGAGACCCCCTGGAAGCAGCACTGTGATTGGACACTTGGTGGTCACCTGATCCCAAAGCATGCGCCTCATTGGATGACGGGGTACCCTTGCACACTGCCCATCCCTTCTGGATAAGATCTCTCTTGATGGACGTCAGCTCGTTCATCCCTCTTCCTGGATAAAGAAGCTCCACCTCACACTTACCATTCTCAAACGTCGCAATATTGACTTGGCACAACTGATTGAGGACCTAAAAAAAAAATCACATTGGTTTCATCAAAACAAGCAGTAAAAAGACATCACTGTTTACCGTGGTGATTGAAGATCTAGAAACATATTTGTATCAGAGGTGATTTAAGGAAACGTTTCAAACATCTCAAAGTTTAGTTATCCAGTGAAGAGCACAATGATGTACTTATGAAAATCTATACCTTTTCTTTGAAATGTTTTATTGCTGCTTCAGTCCATTTTCTGTCACAAGAGGGCGCCGCTGTACACGTTAAACTGCAATGGAGGGCCACTGCCGGTTGGTCGTAAAACCTCTCCTCCAGTTGTCTGATTCTGTCCAATGGGAGCACTGCGTCTTCCCCGTAGTCCACTAACAGGACCTTGAATGCTGGTCCCGGGACCACCTGGTCCACAACAAGGGCCCTGTACCATGCGTCATCAGAGTAAATGACGGCACAGTATTCCCCTACGCTTGGCTTGTGCGGGGCAAGGTCTTGCAGGGTGTATCTTGTGTTGAGATGCTCCGTGAAGGTGAGGAATATCTCCCTATTCTCCTCGCTGTCAACTTGAAGGTAGAAGTTGTTGGGGTCATTGACAACAGTCACGAAGCCATGGAACTCGCTGTGTGGAGGTTCGACGACAGGCAAGCCTCTGCTCTTCTTGCCAGCGACTGCTTCCTCCGCGGGTGTGGCCATCTCGTTGGTTGGGGTCCGATCGGCTGAGTTTGTCGACACCTGTTCGGCGGCGCCTACTTCGTCAACAGCGCCAAAGCCGGAATGCCGCAAGAGCGCATTGAAGGAAATATCCTGGATGTCCTGTCCTGCTCCAGATTGGAGGGAGAATATCTCCACGTTCAGCCGACTGCCGCTTTTAGCTCTGATCTCAATACGGGTGTAGCCGTCCATCAACCACTCTTTAAAAGCCGCGATCATCTCCTCTGGCCAGTCGGACTTGTCCGGCTTGACGCCTGCCAGGCTGCACAGCAGGGCCTGTCTAGGCAGCATGGTGAACTGTGCCTCCAGGGGGCGACAGTCGTCAAGGCTGACTGTCTCACTGTTGCCGTGATCGATGAAGGTGATTGGTAAGGATGTTCTGTTGGGCACGGGTCCAGACTTTTCATCTCTGACGGCTCGGTACCAATTACCATCCATGCTGTATTTGGCAGCGCAGAGCATACCAACGCCAGGTCTACATGCAGGAAAAAAAAAGCAAATGAATACGGGAAACTCCTAGATCATCAAAGCTTTTTCCTTATAAATGGATAGCTCACATTAAATAATTGCCCAAGTGTTTCTATCTCTCATATCAGAACAGATCCGCCAACCTGAATCCTGCTCTCGGTGGCATCTTGGCATAGTGTGCGTTCAGTCTGTGGTGCAACTCCAGCAATGCCTGGGCGCTATTGAAGAGGTTGGCGTAAAAGCAGCTCAGGTTGTCCACGTGGCTGACCATGACTTCGAGTTGCTGGCCTGCCGATATGCCGTCCAGGGCTGAGCCTAGGCTAGCTAGGGAGGGGCCTGGAGACACCGTCGGGAGGCTCCTCGTTGGCTGGCAAGAGCCGGCGGTGCTAGTGGCTTCTGCTAAGCCAGCCGAAATCAGGATTGATGAAAGAGTCTTTGCTATGGACAAAGAAACAGAAACAAACTTTGTGAAAGTTTGAACCGTCATTGCATAATGGCGTATATTCTGGAAGTTCTTCTCCCGCACTAGAATATTTCATCATATTCAGCCATCACCATCCACTCAGAAATATTAGTCAAAGCTTCAGAGAAAAAAGTTCCCACTGACACAAGTACTTACTGGGATCCTCTGGGCTGTACAGTTCAATCTCTTGACCTTCTGATACCCGACCTTTGAACTCTGCCCTAGTGCAGTTCTCCTCTTTGTTGATCATGGACTTGAGTGTCTCGGTGGCTTCTGTGGACCATGAGCCACCAGGGGGCTTGACACCGCTCAAGTGGCACTTCAGAGCCTGAAGGAAAGGAATAACACGGCCTGTCATGTCTCAGGCTTCCATTGGTGTTTTTCTTTATTACAACATGGGGGATTTCAAAGTGACGTTTCTGTTCCTTTCAGTCACACCTGCTTGGGTAATTTCAGCATGGCATCTTGCAGCCGACGCAGCCCATCAACCGGCACCTCATCCACTGTCCCGTAATCAATCAGGCAGACGGTGCACACGGCCCCGTTGATGGACACCACCTCTCCGCGGTACCACTGAGCGTCTTGAGAGTACCGGGCCGCGCAAATGCCTCCAACCTGAAGGATAATGAAAACGCAACTACATGTAGACAACATTGAAGAACGAGGTGCAGAGTTCTCAAACAAAAGCCGAGTGAAATGTTTGATGATCACAGGAACTAAGACAAGATTGGCACTTATTTTAAAAATTCATTGATTTTTTTCTCGCCTTTTAATTTTTTTCCCCTAAAACATGTTAGCAACATTTCCTCTCATTTTTTGCGGACGATTCACCTTAGCAGTGCAAGTCAGCTGTTCAGCCTGGGAAGGGTCTGTGTAAACACTGTCGAGAAGTTCAACGAGGTCAGCAAACCCGCCTATGCTGCGTTCCTGCACAAGTTGCACCCAGAGCTCGCCGGGACTGTAAACCTCCGTCACCAAAACCTACACACAAACAAAACAGGTCAACAAAGAGTGCGCTTCCTTAGAATGAGGGTTGACAAGGTGTTAGATACTGTCATCAACGATGCAGTTGATTTCATAACAAGACCATTTCCAAGGATGAGTCACGAGCAACACCTCAACTACAACACTGTAAGCAACATCAAAAGCTCTGTAACCAGTTTTTTTTTAAAGTCAAGTATGAACAAACAATGAACCTTTGCATTTACTGAATGGAAACATTTTTAACCTCTGAACTCCTCATGCTGGATGACAACAAAATCTTGTGCAACTCTGACCTGACAACATGAGGAATATATTGCTACAAAGTATCCCTTTACGTTTCGGTTGTGTAACACAGGCCTGTTGCAGCAATGCACTGTAAGACAGCTCTTGAGGGTAACATGCTCAACACTGAACCACGACCAAAAGAGAAAGATGCGCTGTAGAGATTGATTGATTGTCATATTTTAGGATCGATGTACCCTCATCTCTGGTTTCTCAGGAATCTCGTAGGGCAGGTTGCGGGCCATGAACAGCCCCTCGATCCCACCGTGAAGAACTTCGGTGGTCTTCCTTGGAAGCGTGGTGGACTGAGGCTTGGCAGGGGAAGGGTCCTTGCTAGAAGCGCTGGACGCCGCAGTTAATCTGTAGAGGCCAAGACAAAGAGAGGACTTGATGCACTGCTGTTGTACCATGTAAAAATATTCATAGATCGGGGGAGAGTAAACCAACCATAATCAGCCAGTTTGTGAAGGAGGGCATGTAAACTAGGACCTAGCTATGTGTATACACGGGCAAGGCTAACGTGTTAAGCCACCAGGCACATCCCAACTTGCATCCGCCCCAAACAAACCCCATCATCCTGTAATATTCGCAACACTCTAATGCATGTAACTGGTTACCAACAGAAACACTGTTGTGTGCAAGGTAAGTGTCTCACAGGTGTTCCACTCATCGCAAGAATACGACCAATAAAAGTTTGTCCAATTAAACCGTTTCTTTGAATTACCCTTGGGCGCTGGCGACCTTTTGACACTCGTGCTTGTGGGTGGGCCAGTGTTCCTTCTGACATTCCCGAGAGCAATAACTGCTTTTGCACTTACTGCAGCGGAGGAGACCTGGGGAAGGTCAAAAGTTACAGGTCAACTGACCCACTCAAGGCTTGCAATGAAATTGATAGTTCAAAGGCATGGTGGGCCACGAACTTGACGTTATCACTTTAACCTCAGGGTAAAAGAAAAGAGTGAAGAATTACTATGGTCGGAAACCTTCAATTCTATGGGTTTTTTCAACTGTTTTGGAAGGATCAATCGATTAAAGTTACTTGGGGAAATCTATAGACACTGGCATGAAAAGTGTATAGTTTTTCAATTTTATCAGCTGCTAGAAATCCAGTTTCTGTAACACTTGAGAATTTTGTGCAACAACCTAAGATTAGATTTTTGTTGGTTTGACTTTTAAGAGCAGCCAAGCTCGGCAGATAGTAGGCCTAACTACGGACTGGGAATAGGTCTGGAGAGGTCAAAATAACATCTACAAGAAGACTGAGAGAAGAAAACCAATCACAAGCGAACAAAACTAGATCGTCTCACTTGTTTTACCACAGAGTACACAGGGTTTAGGGTCTTCTGAGCCCTGCGGACTCTTGTGCAGTGACCTCTGACCTTCAGCACTGGCCAATGATTTACTGGTCGGGGTTTTGTCTACAGCTGTGGGCTGTCCCTCTGGAGTTTGAAGCCCAGATTTTGGTGATTTTTGGGCTGGCACTGGGGCCGTTTCATTGAGCGATGTACGCTTGGTGTCTCGGCCCTGGTTTCCAGCAACTGGTCCTTCACCAACAGTCTTGGCTTTTGGCTCTTCTTCATTTTGGGTTTTTCTTTTTCCAGCAGGGCTTTTATCCGAGGGTGACTTGGGTTGTTGTGTTTTGGATGAATGGGAGGCTTCGCCGTCCGGGTTGGGGAGAGCCTTGGGTGGTGCTGCTGAGGATCTTGGAGAAGATTTGGGTCGATTGTTCTGGAGACGGCCACTTCTAAATCCTGCCGAACCTAGACTCGGTTGTGGATATCCCATCTGATACATGCCTCTGCCACTGTAATGGCCGTGTTGCACCGAATAGCCCGTAAGAGGATGTAAGGGGCTTCTACCATATTGGGAGTGACTAGCATAAGGGTGTGCAGGTCTGTAGGGGGGCTCCTGGGGAAAGTTGGGCCCAAGGGCGTAATGTGAGTGCTGCATCTGCCGATGGGGCTTGGACTGGTGATGGCACAGGGGATAAGATCCGCCCTCCGCTAGGCCATCATCACGGTACGTAGGAGAGAAATCTGCCCTGGTGAAGGGGCCGTTCTTTGGTACGGGACCATGATGGTGGTGGGGGTGATGGCCGAGGAGTCCGTGCCGGTTGGCCTCATGGCGCTCATGTGCCCCACCCTCAAAGCAGAAATTCTGACTACTGGAAAGGGCTAGGCTGTGCGGCTGCGGTAACAGTGACTGCGGTGCTGCTCCTAGAATCCCATCTTGCTTGTTACGTTTGGGACCCTGGCTCCTTGAGAGGTTATCACTTTGTCCTATCTCGTGGACCCGTGTCTCCTTCCCTCCTACACGGTCGGTCTGCCCTTCGATTGGTTCATGACTGAGAGACAAGAGAGGTTGTGGAGCAGTTTTAGTTGGAGCTGAGTTACAATTTGTCACCTGTTCAATCTTAACACTCTGATCAGCGACTGAGGGTGAACTGCCCAGCCGTTCACCCTTTTGAGATGTTGTTCCTGCTTGGTGATGTTTCTCAGCAGTTGCCGGTGTCACACTTTTGACAGGAGCGTCCTCTTGGGCAGAGTCAGAGTCGGCCTCTCTCCCGCGGCTCCTACCGGCCTGTCCTGTGCCCCCTGCCAGACTCTTGAACCCTGGGCTTGTGACTGTCTGACCGTCGCTCAGAATGCCAGCCTGCTGGGTCTTGTCCTTGCCTTGGCCGGCCTCTGGACTGCTCTTGCCGGTGCCACGCATCTTCTGCAGCAGGGCCTGGAGAGGGCTCGGAGGGGGCGTGCTGTCAGCCCTGTTTGCCTGCGTCTCGTCTGCTCGTGGAGGACTCTTTGTCTGACCCCCACCAGGACCGGTTGAGCTTTTAATCACCGATGCCTCTTTAAATGATTTAGGCTTTAATGAGGTGCCATAGCGATCTTCCATTCTGCGAGGTTGTGCTGTCTGCCTAAAATCACAAAAACAAAAATCAACAAAGAGGAAATCTTGAAAGTTTGAGGCTGAGTTTGTCTGGTCTTACATTGAAAAAAACTTAAACAAGATCTTAAACTTAAAATAGTTATCAACTGCATATTGAAATAGGTTGGTTCAAAATCTTAAAGAGACAGATAGCTTCTGATGAAGGGTTGCGACATCTAGTACTCTGTGATTGCTGACGCAGGTATCTTCAAACCAAAAAAAATGCAAACCAAAAAATCACTCCATGCCAGAGTGAACGAGCTCTTGGTGAAGTACAAGTCAGATATGACAAACCAAATCCAGGGACTCGAGAGATACGACTGCGACAAAACCTTTTCGCCTTTGTCCTGTCTTCTTCAGCCTCTGAACTGCCTGTGGACGTCCGGCCTGAACCGCTGGATTGTCGCTTGGTGCTGGGTGTGCTCTGCTTGGTGGGCGGGGTCTTGCCGATGCGTTTGGGCGCATTACTGGGTGGGTCCCATTCCTCCGGGGAATCACAGCTGGACGCCTCGACTGGCTTGGTCACTTTTTCCCGCTTGAATGCAACCTTGTCCCCCCCCCAAAAAAAAACCAAAGAGGAAAGGTTCCGAATGTCAGACACCTTGAATCCGATGAAAAACGAATCTGCCAGCCTTCACTTCTGTACTTTTCTATGAATGCAAATTTATTTCGTTGCGGGCAAAACATCTGAAAATCAAAAACTCGGATCCTCACTTCAAGACATGTGGATTAAAAAAAATATTCCCGACCTGCATTTTTCAGTGTTTTCCTCAGCGATTTTTGTGACCACCCAAGTGTACCTGCTGTGTCCCCGTCTATTTATGTGGACAGCCTACCTGTTGTGCCCTTTAGTTTGTCATTCAGGAAGCCCCCTGACCCCCCCCTCATCCCAGTTCAGGGAGGGGACCATACCTTTATCCGTCGGTGTCGAATTGTGTGCCCGTCCAGTCTTTTGATAGCTTCTTCCCCGTCTTTGATGGATGGCACGTCCACAAATCTGGAGGGGAAGCACAGGAACAAGGTGTAATTGCTTTCCCAGCTCTTCCAAACTAAACAGTCCCAAATCCTTTGATTTTCATGGAATTTGCAAGAGAGGGTAAGAAATAGAAGTCTTCAGCTTCCTGGGAGTGGTTGGCCATTCAAATAAGCCTACTCTTAATCAAGACCTATCGACATCCCCATTGAAAGGTTGTTCCCCGGCACAAAATGACGTATGGCTTTTTGCGCAGTCTTCATCACTCTAGTTGGTTTACTGAACGATTGTTCCCACGGAAGAGTGGAGCACAGTTGTTGGACAGCATAAACTGTAACCTGACAGCCCTCTGAAGGGTTATGTATTGCAGTACACGAAACGGCACAGCTGAGTATCTCTGTGCTGCAGACCAACTGACCCGAAGTGTGACTTCTGTATTGGAAAGTTAATGCCGGATTGGATTCATGCGCCGTGGGGGATTGGAAAAGACACAAAACTGTTTTTAGGGAGGAAAAACAGCTCTTACCCAAACGTTGTGTCGCTGTTTCTGTCTCTGGGCTGGCAGACTTTCACGTGAACTGTGTCGCAAACATGGCCAAACAAATTTGAAAGTCCTTCCTGTAGCGGGCAACAAACATGTTCAGAGTGGAAATGCTTTCTTGTTTAAATGGTAAATCTGCGATGGCAGGTTTTGAAGAGTTTAGTCAAATATACTGGTAAGCATCTCCACCATGACTAATTAGTCACTTGTTTTTAAGGGTCCAATAAAATGCCTTCATTTGACTGTTTAATGAAGCTGGAATTCCAAGATAAGTGAAGGGGCAAGTCATCTTGTAAGGTCTCACGCAAGGTCATCTATCTACATGTTCGAAGGGCAACCCTATCACTGTGTCACAATGATGGACTGGTGTCCAGCACCATCCATCGCTCATCACTGTCTCCCTTGCAGCACACCACTGAGTACACTACCAGCAGCAGCGGGACAAGCATCTGCTAGGCTGTTTCAACAGTGACACACTTCTAACCTACCTCTGTCATCTCTGTGGGGAGATTGCCGACAAACAGGGTGAGCTTGCCGCTCCTTTTGTCCGGGCGACTGGCATTTCTGCAAAAAGAGACATCAATCTTCCTCAAAAGAATCCTGCCAGGAATTTCAAATTCATCCGACCAACCATTTTTCAGGTATGAAAAGGATTGAAAATTGGAGAACAAAACTCGAATTCATCGCTTCTGTCCCACTGAGAAATTCCAAGAGAAACAACTCCCTGTTTGGACGGCAATCACAGGCGATACAGCTAAAACAATTCAGAACAAAACACAACCAAACAAGAAGCTGACATCAACCAAACACTTGAAAATCTGTCAAAGAAAACTCCTGTACGGAGGTCATGCATGAACGCCATCTTCTTGGTCAGAGCTGTGTTCCACAACGATACACAGAAGAGCTTTAGAGCCATCTCGCCACAACAAAAGCACTGGATGGCCACCATGCACAACCTCTTCACAGCTGTTTTTCTTTATGCACGTGTGTAATTGTACAAAATGAGCCATGAGACCAATTGGTCAAGGTGCCTTGGGATTCCAAGGGCTTGACCGATATTTCTCAAGGGTGTGTCAGGGGTTTGACCCCAACGATGACAGGGACACCCACGTTCCGCTTATTCCTGCGGCCGATCCCCTGTTGTAGCTATTGAAGGACGTGTCGTTGTAATCCTGCTCCATTGGGTTCCAGTTTTCGAACGTGATCTCTGTCTTGGATCTGTGGCAATGAACCATACGCAGAATTTCAGATCAGATATTTACATACATGCATCAGGCCCTGAAAGGGCAATGGGTACGGGCTAAATCAACTCGCTTCCTGGTTCAGGATTTTTTGTGAGAGGGGTTAACACCTATGGTATTACTTATGGTCATGGTTAGAAACTGCAAGCACATCAGGGACAATTGTCCGTTTTTGCTGTCTAGCCGTCGTAGTAACTAATCTCTGTGGGTGCTGATTGGAAACTAACCTGCTGGTGGGCGGGGCCACCTGTTGACTCTGTGCCTGGGCTCCACCGAGCGACTTGCGGTTGGATGATTCCAGAGGAGCCTTTGAATCCACAGTTAGCTTCACTTCACTGAGACGTCAAGAATACAGTGGAAGGGAGGCAGGCATCAGTCATGAAAAGAGAGCTACGACTCAGTGCGGTCCATTATTAATGATTTGAGGCATATAGCCTTCGATGAAGGAAAATGAAATTTACAATGGGGGGAGGGGAGAGATAGATGTTTCAATTTGAGAAAAGTGCAACAAAGTATAATGGTTTCTACTTAATACCAAAAAGTGCATTCACCTTTCACTCTCAGTGCTAAGGTGAGATTCCCTGCCTGGCCATTTGGGCTTCACCCCCGAACCAGACCTCACTGATGCCATAACTGTAGAGGCTTGGGAACTAGACCGAGTATTTCTCCTTTCACAAGGCCTGCGGAGAATTGTGCGAATAAGTTTGAAGTTTCAGGCTCATTTTTGAGTAGGAGAAGGGAGTTAGCACTTCCTCTCAACAAGCAGTCAGCGGATTTTAAGTTTCATACAAGAGCTATCACCATTATGACAAGCATCAATCATGGCCTCAGCGCAAGCAAGGACAGTCACTGAGGTAGCAACCCTGACTTTGAATCCCATTTACTCTTTTGTTGTTTGCCACATTTTCTTCCAATTCTCAAATTTTTTAGTTCAAACAGCAAAGTCAACTTTTCAAGCATTTTTCACTTTTCAAAGTTACTGTTTGGCAGATTTATTGGTCAAAGTTCCATATATGGACACTACTTATTTTCCCTTGCAGTGGTTTGTAAGCCATCAGAAAGTGATCATATGCTCCAAACAGTCAAATTTAGCAATGACAATATTGAATCATTTACTTACTTAGAAAACACTTTTTCAGACTAGGCTTATAGAGTTTGTGCACAGGGTGTCAAGTGATGTCCATATACGGAACTCTTTCGGATTTAGTTTTCAAGAAAGTTTCAAAACTGCAAACAGTTTGAACTAAACTCTCCAAGCTCTTCCAAAATCCACTCCATTTAATCACATTACAGAGTGTCACAATACCTGCAAGGCAAAGACTGGCATAAAAACAAGGAAAAAATGAGCTAATTATGCTACAGACTGAACAGGACATGCTGCATGAGTGCCTAAGGGGGGGTCAAGGCTAACAGAGGTGCTTGCCCCTCCCCCCCAAAAATTTTGAAAATACAGAAAAGAAAAGCAAACAAAATTTTAAAAAGGGATGAAAAGGGATAACAATTACTTATTAGCTTAAAAACCTCAAAACCGACCTTGTACTTTTCACATTTTAGCTACTGAGTACTTGGTGTCCCCCACAAAACACCCCCCCCCAAAAAGTGGTTCCTCCCCGCTCCCCCACCCCCAACATGCCCCCAAAAAATGAATTCCTGCTGACATCCATTGCATTGGCATGCAGTGCTAGTGCAGTGCAGTTCAGTTCCAGTAGGCCTAGGTGGATAGAGCATGGAGGAAGGACACAAATGCATGACTAAGAAAGTCTCTCTGACAGCCATGCACAGCCTAGAGAAACTTGAGACTTGAGAGATGGGCCTACACATCTGTTGGAAGATCTATAATCCCCAGGTCTCATCTTTTTTTCCCAGCAGGAAACAGGATCAGGTCTAGTGTTAAAGCTGTACGGCCTAAAGTGTCGGCTTGTCATGTTTGTGCACCTTTGGATTACGAGTCTAACACTGTTGTCTAACGGCATGGTTAAACTTCACAACAATCTTTGAGTGTGACATGCATTGACAGTGTGTCTGACTTCACATGCTGACGGACAGAAGTTATGACATCGAAAGTGAGCAACAATTAGCAAGCCAGCTGACCAACCTGTTCCGTGACAATGTCAAGAAAAATGAGAAAGTTGCAAACTAGCCAAAAAGCCATCGTTAGGGATAAGACGGTAGAATTATGCACTTACCTAACCTGCAGAAAAGATGGATTTAATTTTACCTTGATAGTGAACTCACGATAATACGAGATATGACTTCAGCTAGCTAGCTTTGCGCAGACTCGACACGTGTTTAGAGGAAATACCAACAGAGGGCGCAAGTGCTGTTTGGTAAAAATCTAGGCCTTTTTCAAAATATAGGCTCTATCGCGCCTCTTAAAGTCCAGCAAAATGAAATACGTCATGAGGATAAAGATGTAAAATATTTTAAATTTGTTTATTTTTGTATTAAATAAAATAGTCTGCTTTAGATCTGATATGAACCCAAACGTGTCGACTGAAGTTGGTAGATGAGGGGAAATTTGAATCCCAATAGAAAATAATACCATGTTTTTAAACTATAGCGTAAAAGATACCAGGCAAGCATGCAAGCGCGGCGGG